TACCTACTTCAGAGAGCCTGGACAGAGTGGTGTAGCTTTCCTCTCACCATCTAAATAAGGCCCCTAACAATGTTATCACTTTTCAAAACACATCTGTCCCGCAGCTCCTAGCCCAGACAATTGGCAGGTAACCAGTTAATAAATGTCTTCGCCAGACTGTTGAATAGGCTGGCCCAGGCTCAAGAGTGATGTCAGGGCCATTCAATGTGCTATAATTGGAAAAACCTGGGGAAAGCAATCCCGTGTTTTTTAATAAATAAAGAACGCATTAGCAGCCTCTTGCTTTTATTCACCACGGTGTCTACCTTGTTCGGTAGCAAAGTGGGATTTTTTTTCTGCTGCCGCTTGCTCAATGATTTCTACTTGGAATTCGATGCCAGTTTCCAGATGTGTCTCAGGCCAGGAAGTCAGCAATCAGCCTCGATAAAGCCTCTGGGATTAGCTGCAGATCATCTTCTGACACACACATCCTTCCTGCACCCTCTCTTATGAAATTGGGGCACACCCCTCATGCCCAAAAATAAAATAAAACAACCCAGAGCCAAGCAAAAGCCCCTGATTAGGAAGCTTTGATCACTTTCATATTAAATATGTGGGAATAGATTTAATTAATACAATTCATCAAAGCTCCTGAGGCACCGCTTGAGGGATCTTTACAACACCAGAGTGTTTATATACATAAATCACTTCAACAATTGCAGATTCCCTGTCTGCTGGAGCAGCCCCGGGTGAAGCTCATCTCCCACAGCTCCTCACCAGTGGTACCCATGGGAGAGCATCAGCTCCCCCAGCTTAGCCGCACAACACCCGAGGGGGATGAATCCTCCAAAGCACTCACCCTCGGAGAAAGAAGCAAGGATGAAAAATGAGTTTTCTGGGCTCCATGAGAGCAACTTCGGGAAGCCAAAACCCAAGCGGGTGACATGAAGGATGTGGTTTGCATGGAAAATAATCCCAAGCAGAAGCACCCTGACAGCAACGCGCCTTTCAAGCCTCCACAAGTCCCTGAGAAACCAACTACTCGGGTTCCCCAGTGGGAGGAGAGGGGCTCAGCCCCACGCAGCCGGGCTCCACGCTCGCCCCACCACGTGGCACCGTCTGCTGCAGGACAGGGGGGTCCCAGCCCAAGGGGGCCCAATTATCCAATTCCCAACAAAATCATTATTTTTTCTTTTCCCCCAGGCATTTAAGAGGCTGTTGTCAGGCCTCTTTTCCTCGTGTTGTGATTCCTTTCATCTCCCCAACAAAGTGCAACCAAATTAACACCAGCCCTCCCCCCCAATAACCGCCCCTCCCATGCGCTCTCACAGCCGCTCTGCTTTAACAGGGCACCTGAGAGCCACTGCCAAAACAGGAAAGCAGGCGCCTAATTGAAAGGGAGTATTTGGGAGTCACCCCGCACAAAAATTAGCAGAGATATGCTAGGAAAATAAAGAAGTGGGCATTAACAGCGGGCTTATCTTCTTTTTCCGTGACTCTAATGTTCGGGACGTGAAAAGGCCAAAAAGTTTTACATACTGTTCTGAGGATCTGGTCACGGAGAAGAGCATCCTCTCCTTTACATTCACTGCTCTCCCCAAAATAATTCAGGCTGATTTAGAGGTATGGACCTCCAGAAATAAAATGCAAATGTGCGTAAGCCAAGAAAATCCTGCATTGCTACTAAGCAATTGTGCAGCAAGCACTGGATCTTCTTTATGGGTTGAGAAGTCGAGAGCAGCCTGATTTCAATCCACCTGTGCTAGGTTTGGTAAAAACAGTAAACTGTGCCTTAGGGAGAACGAGAATATGGATGTTTTCCGTCCCAAGGAAGGAGCACGGGGGGTCTCCATTTCCGTAGGTGGGACTGAATTTTAGGGTGAGAGGCCAGAGACAGCTCAATGAGGCTGGTTTTCGGACAGCACAGGGAGCTCCTTTCCTCACTACCCACCCCTGGCCAAGTTCCCAGCCTGGGACCATGACCCATCCCCAGGGGAAGGGCCAGCCAAAGCCTCCGGGAGGATTTAGGATTAACTCCAAAAAATCAGCCAGTCCCACCCCAGCCCACAGGCAGCCTGGGAAAGGAGCAAAAGCTCTCGGGGCCAGGCAGAGGGACCCGGCAGCCTGGCAGGGAGCAAGCCGGCCGGCCCACGGCTTCAGTGGGGTCAGGAGCATCCAGCCAAGAGACCCCGAGCATTCCAGGTCTGCTGGAGCCATTCGGCTCCCCCAGCTCCAGCTCCGGGCTGTGGGAGCCCGGCCGGCTCTCAGAGCGGGACTGAGCCACGGCAAGAGAGGGAAAATTAAAAGGAGAAAAAGCAGTGGGAAGCCCTGCTGAGAAGCCCCCTTTTGTGTAAACATGCTCCGTCCTCAGACTAAAAATAAAGGCAAACCACAGGAAGGGAGTGAGTGCTTGGACAACATCCGATTTGGTGTGTGCCTGGGTGTGAGCTGAGGGAATGGGGAGAAGAGCAGGGGACTCCACCCAGTGCAACCACACAAAAGCAGCCGTTTAAGACCTTCAAGATGGACAGGCATTCCTGGAGATTATTTAAATCCAAATAACTGCTGCTTGGCAGATGCGTAGTCCTTTGGTATGCACACAGCACTTGGATACGTTAAGTGAGGGAAAAGGCTGCCATGGCAGGAGCAGAAAAGGCAGAATGACTGCACAAGGCCCATTTTACAGGTTTGGAGACCGATACCTGAGGCTGTGAACTGAAACCCCATAAACCTCTCATAAAACAAGGAAGCAACCCCGACAAGATTTCAGCTGAAATCTTTCCAGCTCACAGGTCTGTCCTCAAAAATTACTCCTCCCTGCACACTGCCCTTTGCATCTCAGTCACCACTGCAGCCAAAGAACCAAACCCAAAACAACTGCATGCATCTGAAGGCTGCAGAGAGCCAATAAGTTGACAGCCCACCCCAACGAGGTCTCGATTGCTTGCCCAGATGCTGGGCTTTGATGCGCTGCACCCCGCCATTGCCATCAGCCAACTCTCAAGGATGGAGCTTCACCAACACCTGCACATTCCTCCCGCAACCCCCTTTGCAGGAGGGATGTTTTGCTGATGGGTGCAATCTCACCCAAGAGACAAGCATCCATCCATGCCATGCAGAAAGCATGCAAGAGAGAGTGAGGAGGCTTCCTGAAGCCCAGAGCTCACCGTTGGTGCTGACACACCACTCAGAGGCCTTCTGGGGAAATGCAGGACTCGGGAGGAAGCAACCCTTTAGCCTGGCTGGAAGCAGGTCTCGCAGGGAAGCAGTCTGTAAAAGCAGAGAAACCCACAGCTCTCCCCAATCAGCCTTATGGCTTCAGGTCCCACCGTATGGCCTCGCTCTGGGGTACTGGCATTTGGGGCTTGGACCTGGCCGCCGTCAGCCTGATGTTCTTCCATGATGTCTTGGTTTAAACCCTCCTCTCTAGCCAGCCATGGCTAAACTGCAGCATCTGCAATGCTCAAACCATCTCATTTCTCTTCCTTTCTCTATATTCTGTCAGAAGAAAATGACATAGTGCTCAGCAGTGGAGGAAATCAAAGACAACAACGTTGACCTCAACTTGGGCATGTTTCCTGCTGACGTTTCTATTCCTCTAATTCTCTCCTCCTGGTCCCATGTTCACTTTCCTATCATCAGGTCTCACCACGAATATTCATTTTCTATCTACTATTAGAAAAGTCTCTAGGTCTGCATTAAAGGTCTCCTCCAAGCACAGCCGAAATGTAAATCCCTCCTCGCTTCCTTTAGAAAACAACTTCCTATGAAATGCAGCTGTTTGGAGCAGGTCACTTGCTTTCTCTGCAAAACACGTCACACCGAGCATAGCCGTCCTCACTTTGTTCTCATTTGCAAGTGTCTGCTGAGACTTTTACCGGCTTCCATTTGGGGCACTTCTTACATGCTAAATATAAAATGCAAACGCCTTTCCACCAGGCTCTCTCTGAGAGGGGAACAGCTGCTGTTTCCATCCCACCGTCCTTGCACACTGTACAGGCAGCACAAAATAACACAGCAGCATGAAAAAACAGCTATGCCATTGGAGCTATGGACACCTACGGGACTCACCTCCAGCAGCCTGGTTCGGCAGCTGAATCCCAACTGTAAATCAAAACTGAAGATCTTTCCTTTAGACCGACTTTAGCAGGTTGCTTGCAACCCCCTAAGGTGCTGCTGGACACAGGGGAAGCCAAGAAAAAGCTGACACCTTCTGTTTACTCAGCTAATTACACTTTGTTACTGCTGGAGAGGCCACTGCAGCACTCTCGGACCCCTTCCACCGCACCTCCCTGCATCTTGAGATGTGTTTCCCTGCGAATACTTCTTGAGGATGAGGATGGAGGGAGGGGAAGGGGGCTCGGGGTGCAAGCAGGACTGCAGGTGGGAACCCCAAACCTCCACCTTGCCTGAGCTGTAGCCGCTGCTGCAGGCTAAAGTCAGGCAGGGGAAGGTTAACAGGGGAGACTTGCACCCACAGCTCCTTGAAACCCCAGCAGTCACCTGCCCCAGCCCACCCAGCTCCCCCCTCGGCTCCCCAGCATGGCCCCTCAGCAAATCCAGTGGTGGCACAGCTTACCACAGCAGAGCCTAAGTGACCTCAGGGGTCTCTGGGGAGACGATCTCCTTAATGCAAAGTCACAATCAGCTGTTTTCGTGGGCACAATCTTTAACGTAGAGTTAGACAGAAGGCTACAAAGAGTGACTGCAAACGCAGCTGCTCTCTGTTGTTAGGAAACCTCCGAGTGCAATACAAGTGTAACAAGTGCACATGCTGAGAGTTCGATTCCTGAGGTTAAACACCTAAATTAATAAGTCATCTTCAGTCATGCTCTGGAAATACTTACTCCTTACAAAATTACAGGTTGCATCTAAAAGATCAGTCCCTAAGGACAAGGGACGTGTTTGAAAGCACTGAACTCTACCTCTGCCCAGATGAATAACTTCACAAAGACACCTAAGGAGAAAAACCCAGGGGATTAATGCCTCCTGACCCCAATGGGATGAACCCCCAGTTTTACCTGGATCAAGGTGTGTAAAGGACCCAATGACAAAGTCCAGTGTTGAGACAGCCAGTAGAAAGAGCAGCAGGAGCTGGAGCCTGATGATCCACTTCACCCCGGCCAGGTTGATGCCCAGCAGGCCGAGCAGGACAGCCAGGGAGATCCCACGCACCGCCCAGATGTTGCTGAGGCTCAGGACATCGGCAATGGACTCCGCAAAGCCAGTGATGTACATGGCACCTGCAACGCACTGAAGGACAGAGCTCTGTGAGTGCCCCACGGGAGAACAAGGGATCCCCAGCCCCCATGCTGGCCTGGAGGGTCTCTGTTCAGACAGACAGACATTTGCTGCCAAGACACAATCTTTAATGCTACTCTGACCTACAGGGACCGAATATTCTTGCTGTAAGACAGCACACTGCCAGGGCAGCATACCCACTGCCCGAGTAAACAGAGTAGCCTGGCTGCTAGGGCCAACAGCCCAGCAACTTTCTACTGGCTTTAAAATTTATCCTCCATTAATGCTCCATAAGAAACCACACTGGCTTCTCGGAGGGAGAAAAGGATGAGTCAACCCCTAAGTTTCTTCCCTTCTCCTGTTTCTCTGAAGGAAAGCGTCCCAGTCCAACACCTGCCTGAAGAACAGCAGTTTGCTTCCCCCTTTATTGCCTCCCAGGGGTTGTTTTTAACTTGGTGTTTAGTTTGGATGCAAAGTCTGATGTTTCACCAGCTCCCCATCTCGTTGCTGGAATGGAGCCTGCACTTTTGAGGAGAGCATATTGTGCAAGCCATGCCCCCGGAGCTCCCGGGAAAGCTGCTTGTTTGTCTTGCTGCAGGGCAGAACACACACTTTGCCCTCGGTGGCTACAAGTCGGAGGGATGGGACATCTGCAGTGCAGGTTCAGGCCTCAAACCCTACTGAGGGTCAGCAATCGTAAATACCAGGACATTTCCTTCCAGAGGTTCCCACTAGCTGACATTTCAGCAACAACCCTCTCCAGCGCATGGCACCCCCGGCACGCCAGGTCAGGGCACACAGCTGCACGCCCGCATGGGTGGTGCGACCTCGCGTCCTGTGACCCCACTATCCCCACCCACACACAAGGGATGTGCAGCACAGCTCCCACATGACTGGAAGGGAGGAAACCCCCCACCCAAGCCAGCAAGAGTCAGAGCAGACCCCTCCTTCCCTGCAGAATCCCCTCGGACCAACCCAGCACCGCTGCACTGAGGGTGTTCAGGTCAAACTGACCCATACCCAGGAGCTGCGGGTTCATCCACAGTTTTCGGCAAGCAAGGTGCGTGGGATTCACCTGTTTGAACTCGGACACCTACAGCTTGGAGATCCTGGAGAAGGATTCACTTTCACCATAGACAGACACCTAGCACAGATCGGGTGAACACCACCCTGAAAGTCTTTCTTTCTCCTCACTGGTAGCTCCACTGTGAATGTCTCCAAGAGAGAAGTTTTAGACTCTGCAAGGTAGTCCCCAAATTATTTGGATGTATTCTTGTTTAGTTGTATTTAACATTGCCTACACCACCACTGAGTGGACCACGCACGTCCTACATGGGTGCTTTCTCCAGAAAACAGGTCCCTCCTGAGCTAGCAGAGGACAACAGCCCGTGCCAGCACAGCTCTGCTTGGGGCACTCACAAAAACTGCACTTGACACCTGAAGCCAAAAAAAGCCCAAACAGAATCGAACTCTGATAAATACATTAAAGCCAGGTGCAGTTCTTGCCTCTCACATGAAGAAAAGTGCTGTGCAGAGAAAGCAGTAGCACCTAACCCCAACTCCCTGTACCTGACCAATCTCAGGTTTTGAAGAAGTTTTCTTAACTAAATAAGTTTTCTTTCCTTCCACTCCAAGGACGGCGATGTGCGAGGACACTCTGAAGGGAGCGGAGCAGAGCGGGCTGAGCCTCCAGCAGTCTCAGCACTGCAAGTCTCCCTGAAGCCTTTCCTCTGATGGGCCATGATCATCACCAGCAAAACGGAGGAGCTGGGCGTCCCCAGACACCCTGATGCTCCACACACAGCAATGGCCAGGGCCCCAGCGGCACTGTGACATGGGCTGGTTCCTCATGAACTGCCTGTCTTGAAATCAGAACTGAGTTCTAGGCTGAAATTTGCAGAAACCAGTCTCTTACGAGCATTTGTAAACCACATACTTCGCTAGGCGAGGAACATAATTGATTTTCAACACCCAGACATGCCCTGCCACTATCTTTGCTTTTGGGATTTTAGGGCTGGATCTTGGAAAACCTCTGCTTGCACAGACAGGTCTTACTGCAAACCACTCCAGGAAAGGAGACTCCAGAGAAAAGCACTAAACCCTGGCCTCATGGTTAGAGTTGCGGTGACCAAACATGCATCGGTCTCTGTAGGACCTAGCAGACGTGTGCTGCATCATTTAGGGCAGTCTGATTGAGCCTCTCCTCTGGAGCATCCCAGGAGGACAGCAAAGTCCAACCAGATCTCAGCTCACCTTGGCTGATGAAGGAGGATCCCATCCCTGAAGCAGCCTCAGGGCACCGAGCCACCTCTCATCTCCCACGGCATCAGCAGCACACGGCCAGTCATTCCCCACTTGCCCCAGTCAGACCAGGGAATGGGGAATACCCCCATTTCTGGCCAGACTCGCCTTGTGATGGAGGTTACAGCGCTTCGTGAGCATCTTGTAGCGGGGGAGCAGCCTGCAGCTGGTGCAAAGCACGTCGGGCAGAAAGCACAGCCAAGGAGAAGGGAAAGGCATCAGCTCTCGGGAGCCAGCACGGCGCTCCTAAGCGAGCTGCCAGCTCCCACCCCACAGCCCCCCGTGCACAAGGGATGCCTAGGCAGGGGCCAGGGCTGCTGCAGCCCAGTTTTTACGACCCTCAGGACAGGCTGCAACCTGATTGCTTTCCCAGACGGGGTCCGCTTGCAGAGCGAGAGTGGAAAATATGACAGGAAGGATTCTCATGTGTGGCCCATTTCCATATCTTGGCTTGTAACTGTGTTCAGTTTGTATTTTATGGACACTTGCTTTTAATCTGGAGCGAAAGGAGAAGAGGGGGTTATTTTTGGTTTGGGGTTTTTTAAGGGTTTTCAGAGATTGCTTCAAGCCAGTCAGTTAAAAACAAACCTCAATAAAAATGCTTCTCTGCTCGCCACATTTTATACTGTTCATAACATCTTTATGGGGGGAGGGGGTTAAGTTACTGCAGGTTTAAGAGATTACTTTCCATTCTTTATGTTTACTACTTGTGTATTTCAGTGCTTCACCACCCTGACGGCTCCTTGGGGCCTTTCAGAAAGCCCAGAACTGTGACTTTTGGATCTCAAAAAGTCAATTAGCTGTGGCCCTCACCTTTGCCCAGCTCTCCTCCCATACCAGCTCCACTTCTGCTGGCTCTTGCAGAGGAGCAGCCAGGACTTGCCTGGTCCCTAAGGGCACAGGGAGCACGCCAAGGCCAACTTGCCAGCCCACAGCAGCTCACTGTGCTTTAGGTGGCCACCCTGGCCTCTCACACTTCAGTTTAAATCAAGTCTCTTGCCAGCAAGGGCATGTCCTGGCAATGGGGGTAATCTGGGATGGGAGGGCATGTCCTGCACAGTTTGCTTGTTCAGACACCCATTTCCTCCACCATTGTGACCCATGCCAGGCAGCGTATTGCCATGCACAGGCTTGCTCTTGGGAGGCAGAGTGGGGCTGAATGCTCCCCACAGTGCCCTCCCATGCTGTCCAGCATACTGAAGCATTACTCAGATTTTACTTGGAGCATAACTTCCTGCAGCAGGAAAGCACAAGATTAGTATCTGCCTTCCAAAGTTTCTAAATTGTCTTTAAATAAGTTGGGTTTCTTTAATTACCTGGCCAAAAATATAAAGGAGGCCAATAGTCCCCCCTACTCGACCTCCAAGGACAGTAGAAATCATGGAGTAGACTCCTCCACTTCCGATGCTGCACTTCTCACACACACCAATTCCAGATAAGACAGTCACCAGGGCAACCAGGATGACAAAGGACACCAGAAACATGCCCATTACAATGCCAGTGTTTCCCTGGGGAAAAAAAAAAAAAAAAAAATCAAAATCAAATGAAGACCAACTCACACCAATTCTGTTGAGACAGAAAAAGGACCTATCTGCTTCTAGTCACTAGTGATTGATTAGTCTGGAGTCATTACAGCTTAAAAGGAAATACACACACCCCTACTCACACACTTAACGTAACTGATTGACAAATTTACAGTTCCTATTAGCTCCCCTTTGAAGACAACCTGCCTCATCGTGGGGCTGGACAGACCTTTGCATGAGCAGGTTCTGCTCCATGCTGGGCTCCTGCATGAATCACTGATTTTGTCCTCTGCTGCAAAAAGAGCAAGGTCAAACAATGATTCAGCCACCTTGGGCCGGGGATCACCGCCTATTTGCATGCTTTAGAATGACATGCTTAAAAAAAACCCACTTTCATAACAAAAAGTAGTTTCAAAATTGAACCTGTGGGATTTGTGACAGCTGATTTACTAACAGAATCAAGCTCACATTTTAATTTTTCAGAACATTTACCTTTAAAAGCTCTGATCTTCCCAAATAATGAGATACCAAAGAACAAAACCCCAAAGGCAACACAGTGTGGGAGATAAATAATACTTTCATAAACCAGCACATGCTGGCCCTTATCTGTATGACGTGGCAGGCGGCTCTCGCTCTCCCTACACTCGGGGGAGTTTTGTGCAGAGCATTCAGCCCCACAGAAAAAACAAAACCTTCCTGCTTGTGGCAGAGGGAGGGTCTCCACCAGCCATGGTCTCACTGGGAGCGAGAAGAAAAAGCCTCTGAACAAACCCAGTTGCAGGTCCTTGTCAGCAGCTTTAAAGGCCAGCGTAACCCTTATTTTTGTGGGTTCAGTTTGCCATTTGGGTTAGATTTGCAGAAAGAAAACGCGTTTAGTACCTCCAAAAGCGTTCAAGCACCTCTTCTGAGCTCGGGACCTTCCAAACCTCTCACACATGGCTGTAATTTATTTTCCAGGGTCAAAAGTTTTCCCTCGTGCTCCAACCCACCTTCCCCTGCTGACAAATCGCTCAGCCCGGTGCACAGTGATTCCAACTGTATGATCAGAAATCTCCTCCAGTGCCCAGCGCTTCGTTAACGTCTGGCTTTCCCTCCCCTGCCTTTACTCATATTACAGGCCATGTCCACAAACCTCCTTTCCAACCTTGCTCCAGCAATGCTCATTTCTGAGGTCATGCTAGCCTTGATGGGGTTTGTTTATCACTAGCACTAAAAGGCTGCTTCTCAGCTTTGGGGTTGGTTGAAATCCCAGATTCTTTTTCTTTTCTCTTTTTTGTGAAACAACAGAAACATATCCAGGATGTTGCTATCATCATAAAGTCCTATTTTGGTTCATCATCCTGCTGCCTTTGACAGAGGCTTTATCTTGTCAGTGGGGAACAGAGCCAAGTTTTGCTATAAATGCAGCTGCTGGCTGGGTCAGCACCACAGTCCACTACAACCTGATACTCCTTTTTAAAAGGACAATTGTTCTTTTTCTTCAACAGCTTACCCTCAGGTTAAGAGGGTTAATAAATCCAATACACTTCAGCTAAAAATAGTTTAAAAAAAAAAGCACACATACACAAACATACACGTAGTCTTGGGCTCTTCCAGAATCTGCTGGTGGCACCAGGCTATGGCAGCAGCTAGATAATGGGCAATTCAACGGTTCCCACAGAAGAAAGGGTTAACATGAAGACCAGTGAGGAAGGCTGGACTCACAACAATAGCAAGCAGAGAAAGTGGGAAGAAAAATCTCCCATTAAATACTGATGCTTATTAATGCATGCGTGCTAGCAGGGGTTACAATAGTTGCTAAACATTTCGGCAAGATTAGGGTCCCCTGAAACTGCAAAGCTTTACCAGCCCCAGCTCTGGAAATTTATAGCAAAAGCCTGCCTCTGTGAACGGCTCAACACATGACCATCCTCTGCCAGGGGAGCTCTTTGCCAACCCCGACTTCTCCTCCCTTCCCTTTTATGCTAGCTTCCAGCTGTTTCAGTTTTTCTTTTATTTACTGGCTTTATTTTTATTTGCATTTGCTGCAGCAGTAACTTGCTTTCAAAGACTATGTGGAGGAAATAAGATCAAGAGGAAAAAGGAGCTAGGAAAATCATCCTGACTTCTTCACCACGACAACTGCAGCTCTCCTCAAAGCCTCCAGCAAAGCAGTTTTCAATACAGAGTGTGTCTTCCTCCTGCTTTTGGAAGATGTCCACTATGTCTGCAACACAACATCGTGCCTGTGACACAAATTCTGCCCAAAGACTCAAATTCTAACTATCCCTGGAGGAGCCCTCCTTCTTCTAAGAGGAAATTTTAAGGGACAATACAATGTTTTGCATCAGGAGTGAAGCAGACACACCATTCCAGGCTCTGACCCTCGGTGAGATACTGCTCTGGATCCACTCATGGAGGATCCTTTGGCAGTGATTACAATTTCACCTGACTGAGGGTCACCATTGGAGACATCGGGAACTCCTACACTGATGTGTTTGGAAGAGAACTGCTTCAGTGGTGTTGGGAAGATGGCAGAGTAGCTGTAACTACAGCAATATGCTTTACCTGAAAAGCAGTTATTTTGTCTCAACAATACGACACAAGGGTGTCCCTGATCATTGTCAAGGTTGGCTGTTGTGTTTCCGAATGCTAAAATAGGAAACCACTTACAAAGACCACTTCAGCTTTCCATTTTAGCGGAACTTTTTGAACTACAAAATACCAGAGGACGTAAGCAATGCCTAGAATGAACAGCACAGAATCCAAAACACCTGGGTGGTGATGGAGATACGAGGTAAGGAGGTGAGGACAAAAATGCCTATTCACATGCTCAACCAAGTCAACACTTGCTTACCACAAGCCATCCTGTCCTCAGGAAAAGAACCACTCCAAAAATGTTGATCATACAGGAGGTGAAGACGCCATCCCATGTTCCAAAAAGCACTGGCTCCCACACAAACAGCTGGATCTTCCACCAGGGCTTGGTCTGCGTTTGAGATGCCTAGAGGAAAGCAAAGCCTTCTGTTTTACCTCCCGTGCTTTACAGGCAGGCTGCAGAAGCGGTGCAACAGCCAGCCACCAACAGTGGGATGGCCACTAACAGCTGCTAAGACACCATTTTGCTGCAAGTTTTCTCTAAGATGAAGGGGCAGCAGAGCTGTTGGGACCCCTGGGCCCTGGAAGAGAGTGTTCCCTGTAATACCTTATTTATTTTCTTGTAGGATAAGTAATAACAGAATTCCACTCAGTCTCAGCAAATTAACCCCATTGATGATGTTACATGAACCAAAAACACCACTCAGGGGGGTCCTTTAAAGAGCCTGCAGCTGTATGTTGTGCTTCTGTCCCTGCCAAGCACCCCACCAAGACAAGCAGGGTCCTCACTGCACTGGAAAAGTCCTAGATGAGATGACAAACCAGTCTGGACCAACTGGGACTGACAGAGTAGGTTACAGTGGTCTTCCCATCACACAAAGTCATCTCTGATCAGGACATTACATTTCTAGAGGGGACAAGGGACTCTTTTACTTGAGGCACCAATGAATTTCAAAGCTGCTGGAACTGAGACATGAAACTCCAGGGAAACCGCAGTTTTCCTATTGCAACTGCTCCTTCCTGCCCTCCGGAAACCAAGTCCCCTCTTTCCCTTAATACTACACCTCGGGTTTACATAGCAAAAAGAAGGGCAGTTTTGTTATTTCATTCCTGTTTACCTGCCACAGAGGTGACCACAAGGAGGTGCAGAGACCATGGAGATGGGAACTTGGGCTATGGAGGGAAATGGCTCTCCAACATACCTGCTGTGCTTCCTCGTGGAACAGCTCTTGGACATATCCTTCACTTCTGGCACCATTCGGGCTGAGCATCGTACCCTTTGTGTTGCCTCCACCAGCCCAACGCGCAGCCCTGACACTACAACAGGCAAGGCTGATCTGAGCAGAAGGTCAGCTATTCTCCTCAGTCAAATACCTGCGGTGCTGGATCCTCCGTTGTAGAAGCTGCATGGTTTTATTGCCCTTTACTGTGAAAGCAGGAAAGACAGAAGATACCACTGTTGCTTGATCTGCAGAAGCACAAGCCTTTTACCCAGACGGAGCCAACAGCGGCTCGTAGCAGATGCTGAACCAGCGACACCACGGCAAGCAGAGAGCAATGGTCCCCCCAGCACCCTCCCAGGGTCTGCCTGTGGCACAGGCTCTGTCCCTACATTTAAAAGCCCTTGGTGGCCCTTTCTGAAACTATCCACAGCTCTAGTGTCCCCAGCATCCTGCAGCACTAGCTCCACAGCTTCACTGTGTGATGTCTGGGAAACGTATTTCCTTTCATTGGTTTTCAATCTGGTGCCTGGTAATTTCATTGCATGCCCCCGTGCTTCAGTGACATAGGACACATGGACTATTTACTTCCCAACACTACTAATCAGTTCACAGCCTTGCTCACTCCCCCTGCAGCTGTACTTTTTGCAGACTAGAGTCCTGCCGATGTAGCCTCTCCCCTGGCGAGCGACCTCGTTACCCCACTCTGCCCCTCATCCACCACGACACAGGGATGGAACTGGAGCAGCTGAAGGTGTCTCTGCGTTCCTTATGCTCTCGGCCACATCCCCTGCATCGATGCACAGGAACCTTCCTTCATGGTCATACTCGCCCTTGGCAGCACAGTCGTCTTGTCTGCAGTGATGTGACTTCAGATTTGTATGTCACAGACAGACTTTGACAGTGGGTCAGGCTTAATTCAACACCATGTATGTACCAAGAAAGCAGCATCAGGCTTTATTTCAAGGATAATTTAGCACGTCTTTATAGAAGGGGAAAGCTAGCACAAGCATTTCTCTGCCTCAAAATTGCTGGTTCCTCTCCTCATTGGCGTGGTTTTTATATCAAGTTCTCCCTCTAATTGTGAAGAGCTGCTTTTATACACCTCCCTCCAGCTGGCTGCAAGTCTTAACTTCCCCCAAATGGTCCTGTGATGGCCACCAACCCGTTACCCATGGTCTCCCACGCCAGTCGCCGACAGACCCTTTCTGGCCATTCCTCAGCACAGCTACCCCTACGCCTAGGTAAGGCAAAGAGGGCTGAAGCCCAAGGGGAGCAAGACATGCTCCGCAGACGTGGAGAGGGCAGTTTGTCTGGATCATTGGCTCTCCTGGGGCTGAGAGTTTCCTGACCAGCTGAGCTCACACACTTATAAGAATCAACCATGATCACACAAGGCTTGTATAACAATGTCTGGACACCTTACCTGGTCAGAGACCCAATTTATCACGTGCACGGTATAGGAATCTCCAACTTCTCAAGCTTGCAAGCTACAGAGACAGGTCAACCAAAAGAAATGTGCTTTTCCCATCACACATGGACAGTGACATACAGAAACTACTTTGGGTCACTCAGGATTTCAGCATCAGGGTCTCAATCCCAGCTCCTAGATCAGCTCTTTCACCATCCTGCCTTTATTACTCCATTTTTAAATACTCAATAATAAATAACCAGTGCTGTTGCTGCTCCACCATGGTGTTTCAGCTGTAGAAGGTCTCCTGCAGCTGGGGTACAATGGCCAGCACAGGAGGTTTTTCTTTGCCCTATCCACATGGCCAGTGAAGCAGCACCAAAGCCGTAAGAGTTCACTGATTCCCTGCTGCTCCCTCCCCTTTTTTTGAAGCAAATAACCCTTCACAATATCACAAATGGCTGCAGTTACAGGAAGGCTGGGGCTTCAAGCAGGGCAAAAGCAGCAGGAGCAGATGAACTCTAAAAAAACAAAGCTCATGTTTTTATGCAAATAGCCACAGTAATAAAAAAAAGGAAGAAAACACAAGGCGTGAAACAAGATTACAATTGAATGGCCATATTCCCCTGATTCCCCAACGCAGCCCTTCCTCACCAGAGATTTCACTCAGTAAAGGACCCACTGTGGCCATCCAAACTCCTGTCTTTCACAGCAATTCCAGCTGGACGTGAAAAGAGCAGGGAGGCTGCAGCCCCACGGCCCCCAGGTCCCCTAAGCCACTCCACTGAGGGAGCCCAGAAGGAGACAGCCCCGTCCACCTGCAGCAGCTCAGGGTGGCCGGTGGCTCCGCGTGCCCGGTGTGTGACAGCACGGGCACGTTTGAGGCACCCATATTATCAATCAGAAACTTGCAAAATGCAGACAGAAGGGCTCCACGCATGGATTTCAGACCCGGAGCTCACCTTGCAGGAAGCGTTACCCTCCTAGGCTTTTAAACCCCCTTTAGCTCATACTTTCCTTCCTTTTTCTCAGCATTAAACCCGCTCTCCTGCCCTGTGCTCCCATGCCCTTTCTACTCAGCCCCGCTCACCTCCGTGTAAGAGCTTCCTCCTCCGGAATCGCAGGAAATTGCCTCTCCACTATTGCTCCTCTGCGGCCTTTCCAACCGCCTAATATCTTATTACTCAATTCTGCAACTGTTTACATCCCTCCTCAACGCATGAATCCATTTAGCCCTTCGAGGCAACCGAAGCGAACACAGGAGGGGGTATAAAGCTCAGAAGCAAGAGCTGAACAAACACGCCAGGACGGCTGCTGAATGTGCAGCCACGTCCTGATCCCCGCGATGTCCACCTTGTGCAATTTAGGGTCTGAAAGTGGAAAGTCCTTGGGGCAGGAGCCCTCCTCTTGTCCCACGCAGCACCCTACCAGCACGGCGTGGTTTGTAAGCTGCTGCACAGCACAGAGATCTTTTCGGGCGGTTTTATCTATCTGGGTCACCAACCCAGCGGAAGCTGTTTCTGCTATACACATCAGTCTGCCAAAAAAAACCAAACAGGCACAATTTTCCTCTAACATAGGCGAGTCTCTAACTTGAAAGTTAATTGATAGTACTTTTCCTAAAGTTTCTGTCAAAGACACTAACCAGTCTATAAATTAAAGAAGAATGGTTGCTTTAATCTTTCCATACCATTTAGCGCTTGAGAGAGCAGAAGAGCATTAGCAAACCTCCTCGCAGAAACATTACAAAGGCCCGTCTCCTTTTCCTGCGACACTTCTATATTTAATTACAAAACCAGATTCCTATAGATGAAATTTCCGTGCCCTCCGCATCCTTTCAAAGCAGTAATATTTTATTAATCATCACATTAAAGCCATTTCTGAGCTAAGTGTCGCTGCTCTGAGCTACTCGACAGCTGGCTGATCTTACAGAGGAAAGGTTAACGCCTTCCCAAGCACAACTGCGTGTGGTCCCACGACCTCCGAAGCCTCCGGCCCTGCCAGAGGAGGTACTTCCAAGCCTCCTTCTCTCAAGGGACTCAGCAGCCAACCGCACTTTAGTTTTAATAAATCCCCTCAACCCTCTCCAGGTCAAGTTCTTAAAAAACACCTAATTTAGGGGACCCTGAGGAAGGCAAGAATTAAAGGGAAATAAAGCAGCCGTCGGTGCAACGAAGGTAATGCCACGTACAGGAGCGCCCGGTTATTCCCAGTTATTCATTTACTGCAACAGCCAGGACAATTACCCGACTCTTTTTTGGTTTTACGTATCTGCAGTGTAACTAACGCTGCGGAACACGAGCGGGGGGAACAAGGCCGGGCTCACCCTGCAGCTTTCATTTCCCGATTGCCCGGTGCGGTCCCACAGCTTTGCTTTTGCAGCGGCCGTGGCGGTGCCGACACCTTCGTACCTGAGCAGGGCTGCACCCACCCTTCCCGGAAAACGCTGCAAGTACCTGCCTGTGCTTCCTTTTGTTTTGGTTGGGTTTTTTTTGTTGTTTGTTTTTTTTTTTTTGGCTTTTTTTTCTGTTTTTTTTTTTTTTTTTTTTTTGTGCGTTTCTTTCTCTCTACCCCCTTTTTTGTTTTTGTCCTTTTTCCCCATTTTTTATTTTTTGCTTTCCTCTTTTTGATTTGCTTTTCTTTTGCCATTGTTTTTTTTGCCTTTTTATTTGCCTTTTTTGTCATTTTTTTTGCTTTTCCCTTTTTTCCTTGACTCTTTATTTGCCTTTCTTTTTTCTATTGCCATTTTTTTGCTTTCCCTTTTTCTGATTTTCTTTTTTGCCATTTTATTTGCCTCTCTTTTTTTCTTTTGCCTCCTTTTTTTTTTTTTTTTTTTTTTTTTTTTGCTTTCCTCCCACCTCCCTTTTAATTTTTCAGCTTTTCTTTCCCCCGTTTTCGCCCCCCCCCCCCCCGCGAGCGAGCTACCGCGACACCCAGCCGGCCGGAGCCGCGGGCACAGCCAAGCCAAGCCCCACCCGCGCGGTCCCGGGGCTGCCCCCCGCCGCGGCCGCACTGCGTGGGGGCGCGGAGCCCCCGCCGCCCCGGCCCCACTCACCTGGCGGCGCCCGGGCCCCCCCCTCCTTCCCACGGCCGCGCTCCCGCGGCGCCGCCTCCCCGCGGGACCGGCCCCCCGCGGCTGCCACGTCTGCCCGGGCAGCGCTGCCCCCCCCCCCGCCGCCGGGCGCGGAGCCGGGCCTCGCCACGGAGGGCGAGAGCCACGCGGCCGGAGGGTGAGGGCCATGGAGCCCCCCCGCCCACCTCCTCAGTTTTATCTACTCGGCTGGGGACAGTTCCCACTCGCGTTCGGGGCACACGCCGGTTGGCCCTGCGCGGGGGGGCCGAGGCACGGCCGTGCCAAAGGGATGGGCGGTGGCACACGCGCTGCTGCCTGTAGGAAATTCGGATTTCAGAACAGATTTCCACTAAATCTGAAATTCTCAACAGTCTGACCAAAACAAACAAACTAACTAACTAAATTAATTAATTAATTTCCTGGCAGCTGGGTTTCAGCAGAAGGGAAAGCTGCCTGCCACAGGGAAATGGGACTCCCGATTCCACATAGGAGCGGTTACAACCTGGTTTCAATCTGAGCTAACTTCAGCGGAACTTCCCTGTTCAGAGCTGCCAAGAAACCCTGTGACCCTGCACAGACAAAGCTCCATCTGAATTAAAGGCACAAATTTGGGACGGTCTCAATGTACACAGGAGCACAGCTAAAGCTAGACACCCTTCCTTACAGCACGAGTAGCGTTCACTGACTTCATTTACTTCCAAAAATAAAGCCAAAATGAGTTAGGGCCATTTTAATTTTCAATAAAGTATCCGTACAAGACATCCGCGTAATCTAGCAAAACCACTTTGATTTTCCAGTGTCCTGCAGGCTCAAACCAGCCTTTACTCTTGGACAGAAACAGCAAGGATGAGCGAGTGGCAGGAAAGCAAAGCAAGAGTTCTGAGAAGCGAGACCACTGTTCTTAAAGGAGGATGAAACCTAACTGAGGAAACCGGCAGATTTCTCTCCGAGATATCCCATTCCTGGAATATTTCAGAACCTCTCCTCCAGCTCCCTTCAGAGAGGGTGCTACCTGGGAACAGGTTCAGCCAGATTCTCCCATCTTTGAGGGCCAGTGCAAAATCTGAAGCATCTTTGATTCGTTGCAGAATTGGTGAAGAATCACTAATGCAGTAAGGACCGAGTCCTGTGCCTTGCCTGCAGGCACGTCTGCCCCTGCACACACCTGCACACCAAGCAAGAGCTGAAGAAGTTTCCCGGGGCAGTTGCCACTGTCACCCCCCACCTCTGACCACTCCTCAGGCAATCCTGCCTCCCCCCAGAAACACCCGCTGCAGAAATCCAGCAAAAGGTATTTTCAAGGACCACATCAACACATTAAAATACCCAGCGCTGCTGTTAAAAAGCACCATCAGGAGTGCTCGGCCTTGGTCTCCGTCTGCTCCTATTTAAGTCATGGCAATTTTCAACATTTTCCTTCTTGGCAAGAGAATCTGGGCGGCAGCACTCCTTCAGCGGGGCTGCGTGCGTTCCCGGGGAGCCCGCTGCTTTTCCATACTCGGCACATGAGCACAACTGGAGGCTGACACACACTGTCACTTCTCCAAGGACAATCAGCAAGTCGCAGTCGTCTGCAAAGCGGTTTGCTTTCTTTAAAGAACGGGCTTTGAAAATAAAGAGGTAACCTGAATGCAAGAGAAGTGGCTTGAACTTAAATTACTCGTAACAAATATGTGATGATGTGGAACGGTATAAATTCCCCCGGCGCGCACGCAGGATGGCTGTGTGACTCACAGTTGGCTCAGCCACCGGCGTGTTGATGCGAGCCTTCCTCTGCACCACTCCAAGGTCTACACCACCTTCCAGGAAAACCATCACAAACCATTTTTTAAAAGGCCTAATTAAAAATTCTCTCTCCTTATGCGGAATACTTTAGCTCTACTGGGAGGAAAAGGGCAGGAAAAAAATGCAACTAAAAGTTAAAACTCTTTTATCAAAGACCAATTCTTGGGTGCTTACAGGGCTAGCAACAGACACTGCGAGTTCCACAGACCAGCAGGAATCCTTCCTCTCCAGTTACGTGGGTCCTTGGGACTGTCAGCTGGACCCTCCGAAGCCTGGCAGACCCGAGCATCGGACATCCTGAACTCTGATCTGGGAAGGCTTTCGATAGTCCGTATGGTGTCACTCGGTGGAAACTGCTCCAGGGGATGGAGCCTGGAGATGGATTTAAGAGAGTGAAGGAGATGACAAAAAGTTATGTGGGATAAAACAGGCAAGGGATAAAACTACAGAGGTGTAAAAGATACAAGCGTATCCCTCCCCCCCGAAACAGGGAAAGTAGCGGCACGGGGGTCAGTCAGCAAGAGAAGATGTGAATCTGAAACATCTACAGGTCTGAGCCATCCTGTGCAATGTGGAAAGGACTGATTCTTAGTAGAATGGGTGTTAATTATCACATACCTCATCACCATCTTCTTCAGTTGCCAGACATACTCGTCTTTGCTAACACAGCAACGTGCAAGCCAATTTCCACGTACACACACAGCACGAACTGTGAATAAACTACACGACTTAGCTAACCACATTTCTTAATGACCTACAGACAAATCCTAGATCAACAGTAAAACGGGCTGTTTTACACGTAAATAGCGTGTTCCTAGACTGAAAAGCCAGCCTTTTTCTGTTCAAGTTTATTCATAGCTTTAAACAGTAAAATACTTTGCTTTTAAAATGCATTTTTACCCAGTTTTGTTCAGTGTGTGGCAACAGAAGCTACCGACACATTACCTGAGCACCACCACAATCAACATTCTTGTTTCGATTCCTTAAAATAGAGTTTCAGGCAACAAGAGCGACTCTGCGAGAGCCAACACTGCCAAAGAGCGTTTCCACACGCGACTCGCGTGGGGACTCGTGGTGTCCTTATGGCTCTTTTTTAAGTAGCCGCAACATCCACCACCCCTGCTACACATTGGACTAGGGGATCGATCATCCTGTTTACCTTGATTTGATGCTTTCCTTTAAGCTAACAAATGCCATCTTAAAGAAAATCCTCCTTTCTGAGTCCTCTTCTGGAGGAAAAATCACCTTGGCACACTGGTATCCTTGCACTTGCTTAGCCATCTTTCCAAGCTGTAACTTTCTTAGGTGGCTCTGATCTGTCTATAATTAGCTTTATAACAAAGATGATTTCAGGAACTGGCAAGACAAACAGAAGAGAACACAGGACTTGAGAGAAAACAAACAAGTAATCCTTTGAGCTTCTCATGACATCCTCTGTTTTGTTCTTACACATCACTGCATGGTGGAGATTACCTTGCAATTACCCAGAACATATTCCCAGCACTCACAGTCGTTGCTTTATCATCTCTTGTGACAAGACCAACTGATTAAGGAAGTGCTGCTCCTGAAAAGCTTTCAGAGTATAAAAATAATACATTTTGAACAGCCATTATTCATATTACAACACGTATTTTTTTATAAATTACATTTCTAAAATAATGGATTCCTCTTGCTTTCACTTAGGCCAGGCTAGTGCTTTTGATCTAACAGCAGTTAGAATAGCTCTGGTGCCATTTCAGAGGCAGAAGTAACAATGATCACACTGGACTATGACGAAAAAAAAAAAAAAAAAACAAACCAAAACCCAAACAAATCTATGTGAATAGAAGTGAAAACTAACATGTTTGGCAGCACAGCTTGCACTTCCATAGCAGGGCCAGCGTACCTCTCTCAGGCTGTGCAGCTGGGAAGGTATTACCTCCTCTGAATGAAGACAGCTATGTACAAGCTACTGCCAATGCCCTGTCCTGTGTCAAAAGATACCTGCAGAAGGCTTGGTTTGGGACTAGGCACCCACGTTTCTGGCTGAGAGGCTTGAAAAGTGCAGCTGCTGGCCAGCCAAAAGCCAAACTGGCTGGCAGCAGTGTACAACTATCACACAGCAACACACCTTGGCTCTCCTGTGTAAGACAGGTAGAGCTGCCCAAGGAGATGGACTCCAAGCAGGAAAACCAGGAGTTACTTCTATACCCAGCAAACATCCAGAAGCAAGTACAAATAATGGAGGGAGGACCTGGATCCCATTCCGACCAGGGCAGGGCTGCTGGCTTCTGTAAGGACAGCACACGTGGGCTCTGTTTTAACCCCCTGTTCCAGTGGGAAGCTGTCTTCTTTAAACTCCACATCTTGACAACTGGAGCAGACAAAAAAGCAAACAATATTCTATAGGAAACTATCTTCTGTTGATTTGGCAAGTCCAATGCAGCAAATAACCAACAAACTGGACACTCTTCCAGACTACCTCCCTAAACTGACCCACCTCCAAATATACTTTCATAAACTGCTGCCTATCCTGGAACTACAAAATAGTTCGTCCTGTGCAGTGCAAGAAAAACATTAATTTCTGAGAAAGATTTTTTCCCAGCCCTCTAAATAAACAAATAACCATCCATTTTAACAGAAAACTATTTACTTCTAGCAAAAAAGAGAAAGCTAATTTAATGGATTACTTTTCTCACATCGGAATACCGAAGAATGTCTTCTTTTCGGTATCACCATACTATCTGACAATTTTCATCATGAAAGTCAGTAAGCAGAAACTATCAGTTTTGATTTCTTGTTTCCATTGCATAAACAAACAAACAAACAAACAAATCAGTATAACTAATGTAAGTGAACATAACAAAGCTAAAGACAAGCAGGGTGGCTGAGTACGCAGACACTACTTACTGAGGCATCTTGCCGAGCGCACCCACAACTTAAAACTATTGAACATGAAACCATTAAAAGTAGTTACTACACTGGCTGGATGTTAACATACCACGTTAAGTTCTCGATAGGCTATTTCAAAAAACAATACCAAAACATGCACACTGGAGTAGTATTGAAACAAGGTCCTATCGAGCCACGTTGCCGGCATTCACTCCGTACCTCAGAAGTATGGGGGGGCACTACGAGACCGCAGTGCCCACGGCCTCACCCGGCTGAGAGGGCCCGAACAAGGGCAGCCTTCCTAAGGCTGATTCCCCAAACGTCTGTGCCGATTTAATCCGCTGCTGCCTTGCGGCTGCGCGGCCGCCCCTGCTCGGGCCGCCGTCCCCTGGGTGAGACACCAGAGCAAACCCCTTGCGCGCCCTTTCCCTGCGGCCCTGCGCGCGGTCACCTGGGTTAAACGCCCTCAGAAGGGGTTCGGGCTGAGGCCAGACGGAAAGTTCCTCCCGTGCAGCCAGCGCTGCCCGCAGGGACCTTCCCCGAGGTGGCCAGCGGAGAACGCCCAGGCAGGGAGGCTGCGGGCTCCAGGGCTGGGGCTGCACCCAGCCGGCGCGGAGACCTCGGCACCCCGGAGCCCCTGGCACCCCGGAGCCCCCGGCACCCCGGAGGCCCCGGCACCCCGGAGCCCCTGGCACCCCGGAGCCCCTGGCACCCCGGAGGCCCCGGCACCCCGGAGGCCCCGGCACCCCGGAGCCCCCGGCACCCCGGAGCCCCACAGCTCTTCCTGCAGCGCTCCTCGGATCCTGCCTCAAGTCTTAACACGGAATTTCGCTCCGTTTTTCTTCCCTTTAAAAGGCATCGTGCAACTTCTAACATTTTCTTACACAAAACTTGTTCTCACACAAAGTAAAATCATCAGAGCCAGGTATTTCACAAAAATCAAGTCTTTATCAGAAGGGATCCTACCGAAAGATTCAGGGAAAACAACACCTTTAACACATGAATAAATAAAGGTGAGAAAACTAAATTATCAGTAATTAACGCTATGGGGCACACTTCTGGTTTTGCAAGTGCATAAATGCTATGATCTTCAGTATTTAAATATTTGCTTCAGTGTTAGAAAAATCTATGTAACAGGTATTCTGTATACTACACACACTACAAACTGATGTAGCACACGCATGGCATACTGTTATCCAATAGACCTGAAAACTTGAGTAATCAAGTCCACCTTTCTTACAACTGAAACTAAAACAAAGTCCTGATTCTCGTTTACATAAAGAGTTGCTGGCACTGAATAAATTCCCTCTAGTGCAAACAAAAATCACAAAAGTAAAGCTGGTCTAATACTAGGTATTTCTATTATAGTGATTTCAGTGCAACCTTCTAAAATGACCAGGATTAAAATTAAGGTCAGATACTTTGTTTTCTATAATCAAATGAGGCAAAAAGGAGATCCACAGCAGAAGAAACCCCAAGTTTTGTATGCTCAAATTAAATATTTAAATATTTCATTTAATTGTTGAAAGTATCCACTTCAGTTCTTGCATAATGATACGTATCTTTACATGTCTTCATCTGTCTCATTAAGAAAACAGATTTTGTTTTAAATTGTCTAACATGAAAAATACTGCTAAGTCTATTCATAAAACAGTATTCTATATTTTTATTTTTCAAACAGCAAGTGACCACATTTAAAATGCATCATTTGCAAATATAAATTATCAAACTATTAGTTTCATTAAAAATAAAGCAAAAACATAACTTCCCTTAGTATCACAATACATAAAGGGTATTATAAACCCAAAAAGACTAAGTTAACCATAAGAAAACAGTAATGTCAAAAGTGATGAAACTCATTAAGTCACTTAATGAATAAATCAATTCTAAGAATACAATACTATTCACCATGATTATGTAAAAAAAAAAAAAAAAAAAGAGCAATCTTTCATTGTATTATACAAATAAAACAATCCAATCCTTCATGCCACACTTTGTAAACCATGATATAAATTACACTCACAGTCAAATGAACAGGAAGAGTAACTCCCAAAATATTTTAAGTTGATTTGAGGGCAGAAATAAAGGCAGAAAGAGAATCATTTAAAATATATCAAGTTTAACCAAAACAAATTCATTTGGTCAAGCCTGCTATCCAAATAGTTTTGTTTCCTGCAAAACTATTTTTGTCTTTTTTGAATTATGAAATTTAAATGTTTCTTCTACATATTAAATGTAAGTCACATGTTGAACTGCATTAAATCCTTTTATATTTGTATCATTTTTGCATTGAGACCCAAACATCTTTCATGTACCTACCTACACACACACACACACACACACGCACGCACGCTCTTGCTTGATATCAGGAAATTCCTCATTTCACAGGAATAAAGAAAGACTCACATACTGATTTCTGTCAGAAACATAAGGAATATACAAATTCATACTCTTCAGGTTCCTATAAAACCATCTCTCACCTATATACATACTTTTACTGATGAAATTCAGGTCTTTTGCCTGATAATAAAGGGACGGAATAGATGTAGGATAAAGAAATACTGTATAATCATTGAAATAAACCTGCTATCCTAAATTTATCCATATGGATTTTTTTATTATTATTATTATTAATTGAAATACAAAGAAGGCATACGGACTTCAGGAAAATAACACTATATCAGAAATCCACTGTAACAGTGTTCCACTATATATATATATCATCAGGTTTTTCATAAGACAATTTCTTCTGCACACTAGATTTTGTACTAATTTCTTTGTCTTCAAATTCATCATATTTCCAGATCCAATTCAACACTACATAGTATGCCTTCAAAATAAAAGGAGGTCACTTGCTTTATTGAATACCAAGCTCCCTTCCAGACAGCATTAAAAGAAAGACAAAATTACACAGAGAAAGTCCAGTATAATTCATTTCTGACAATGAAAATTTCAACCCCTCATACTGTTGCAAAATTCCTCCTACTGAAATGCTTTACTACAATAATAATAATAATAATAATTATAATATTAATAATAATAAAAAGCATACATTACATATAAAAGATACCAGTGTACTAAAAGTGACAGAAGTGGACTAGCAAATCCTTCAAAGCACATATTATATAAATGACTAGCATTTAAAAACATTTTTTTTCCTATAAAATGTAGGTAATATACATTTATAAATTGGGGGTAGGGGGTTCTAAAGCAGTGATGACTGTTCAAATAGTTATGCTGCTCTGTACAGTCTAATACCTATTCAATTCAAACTATAAGTTTGACATTTAGTTTATTTATTGGAATAAACCCATCTTATCATCTCATAGCTCGTAATTTGAAAAATATGCAACTCAAATGAAGAGGTGACTTGCAAGTTCACTGTTTATCTGCATATGAAATAAGAACAGAACTACTCCTTTCTACTGGAGGCCCAAGTCTCATCAGTTCAGTATCAGGACTTAAAGACTCCAAATTTAAGTAGAGGAATTGTCAGGAATCAGCACAGAAGCAGAATAGTATCTCTCATCCTTTAGAGACACAGCTATTCAACTTTTGCAGTCTTCCTCATCTTGCAGAAGTGCAGCCAAGCCATTCGTTTCTTACTCAAAGTGTGTACAGATGAAGCCATAGATCTAAAGACTGTCCCCTCTGCAACTGAAATTGTGCTGTGTAAACAATGTTATATACTCCAGCAGGAGGACATCTGAATTTATTTATAAAAAAAATTATTAAGAATATTCATTAACTCAAACAAGGCTATTAACTCCCAAAGGTATTTTTGGAACTTATCCTTATGCTACTTGTAAAGATAGCACTGTCATGTATTATTGCTCACAAACAGTACATCATCATATGCCTCCTAACAGAACGGTACTGTGATCAGTTCCTATGTATTTACAGGTTTTTTTTGTTTGTTTTTTAAACAAGCTATAAAAACATTACACACTTTACAGACAATACAAATACTCAAGTCAAACAAATGGAATGCATAACAATAAGAAACGTCATAAAGGAAGACTGACATAAGTCCTTGATTGTCAAGACACATTTATATTTATATATAAACTCTAGCTGTGCAGAATCAAAGATTCAATCATAGGTACATCCTTATTTGATAAATCATATTTACAGCATGATATTGCATAAAAAAATAAAATAATGTTGTTTACACAATATTACCTTTCCATCCATTGGATTAAGGAAAGCAAGAAACAACTCTTAGAAATGTTTGCTTGCCTCAGTTTGTGTTTCCTACCAAAAGATCTAATTTTAAAAAGGAAACATAGGGTTTTATATGCCGAGTAGGACAAAAGCGACTATAAATTTATTTCCCTGACACAAAGCAATTTAAAACTGAACAAAAGTTTAAAATTTAACTTAAAGACATTTCTTTCCATTAGCAATAGTACTTTCTTAGTACTTGTCCTTTGCAAATTAAGTTTTAGCTAAATGCATTACATGCCTAACATAAACATGCATTACCATAAGCTGAATGAACTTTCAAAGTTACAAGGCTTCATTTTAGTAAAACATTTAACACTAGGAAACTGTAATATTATTCATTTGCTTCAGTACCAACCATGTAATTTGAAAGTTCACATGTGTACTGGTACCAACAGCATAAGCATATTTCTGCCTGTTAGAATTTCCAAATGGATTCCCAGGAGTATTAGGATTTCCCCTGCAATTTGTAATGGTATTAAAACAAGCAAATGAAGAAGAATAAAAATCAAAGCTCTCAAAACCAAGAAAATTTAGTTAGGAAATATACATACATAAAGTAATCCAATGCTGCAAAATTCAGAGTGGATTCATCCAAATATTCTGGTTCATTTCAAATAGTTACTACATATGATACAAATACTATAAAAATATTCTGAACAAGCATGGAATATAATGTATCTGTCCAAGTGGAAAGCTTTCATAGGAGAACACGAATACTCTAGAATAAATGCCAAAAGTTACAGTAGAACCCCAATAATTCGCAGCAAAGCCTCAGAACCCTTTACAAAATGACAATTTTGAAAATAGTGAAGAAGCAGGCAATAAAAGCAAGGATGTCACATCACAAAATGTAATTTGTTCATTTATTTTGACAACTGCAATTTAGCTTTCAATACTTCTTGTACCTCCCAGTATACTCATATAGATTCTATGGTATACTTGGGTGAAGTAGTACAGTACTACTAATATGAGACCTCACTACAGTACTTTTTAGACCATTGCAGAGAGGTGGGGAAGAGACCACCAGGGATGTATAAACCTATTGGATGCTCTGATTAGCGGTCAGCGAATTAGCAAGATTTTACTGTACTTCTCAATTAACAATTAAAAGCTCCCATCATCCAAAAAACTGACAAGTACAATATAAAAATAATACAGGTGTTATTTCACATGAATACTTTCCTGTCCTATTTTCTTCTTGAAACATAATTTTCCTAAAAACAACACTAGGAGACACAAGATCATAAACAGTTCTTTTATCATCCAATTTAAATTGTTTAGGTTGTTATTTGTAAACCAACATACAGTAATACACACGGTTAATCCTTCTGCCCAAACCTTGTAATTTATGATTAATTCATTCTCAAATCAAATGAAGAAAATGGAAATGCCTATTAGTATACCATTACAAGCTGACTCCTCCATTGTCTGTTATATTAATGGTAAAACATATCAAAGGATTCATGCTGAAAGGGACACTGTCAAGTAATTTAGGACCAAAATATGGCCTATTAATATGTGCATATATATATACACACACACATTGTGTGTGTGTATATATATATGTGTGTGTGTATATATATATATATAGTTTGGTAATAAATGTCATCAATTTCCTCTTTTTTAAAATCATCATTGCTCTATGACTAGGAGATATCCCCAAAAAATAAAAATTCCACCTTACACACACACACACATTTAGTCCTTGTATGACCTTTAAGTAGGAATGTCTGTTGTTAGCTCTGTGGAATATAAATGCTCACCCCAGCCTTGCGCTGACCAACTGAACAATATCAGTACAAGAACAGAACAGAAAACCAAAGTCGCTTTTTTCCAGACATACATGGAAAACTAACAAAAATGAACACTGACCAGATCAAAATGAAGAGTGTGCATCTGCAGCAGATTAAAAGCAGCAAAACATGAGCAGTGGGAAATGCTATTAAATAATGTAATTATTAAACAAGCAAGAGTTTTTTACATAGTTAAAACTCTCAGAACTACATACACACTTACTCCAGAATGAAAGTGCATGTACTCAGGAAATCATAGCAGTATATTTGGTTAATTCCTCCAATACAGAAAGGTTCAAGTATCAGTGGAGCAACTACTCACACTGCCACCTCAATTGTACCTGTGGAAGAACCCTGCGAGATAGTCCCTGTGGGCTAGGCGGGGACTCCACAACCTGTCCTAAGGCACAGAGTACAGCTGTAACAGCTCAGCTGCAGGCTAGAGAGTGAGATGTGGTGTAAAGACCAGCAGTTCCTCAGATAATTCCCACTTTGCTCCAGGGAAGAGCAGGTTCCTTCACTCTGTACAACAGTTTAATCCCTCATGCACTCAAGTAGTGATTCCTAAGTGTGAAGATGGCATGGAGGAGCGAGAGCTACTCTCTCCTACTCCTCAGTTGCTTTCTCACAGTAGAGTATCAGTGCAGTAACTTTTCAAAATAAAGTTGAGTTAATCTCCTTCGGGAAAAGGAGGCTTTACTCCTCTTACCTCCTTATGAGGCCAGAGAAGTGCATTAATAACCTAGTCTTTTGTTTGTTAGGTTGGTTTTTTGGCCTTTGCTGCTTGTTGCATTTAACAGAGTACTATTAATGGCCATCCACTTGCAACAACAGGACAAAGATGCCAACACAGTATTATCCAGGCAGCACAAGCTAGGACGTCATGGAAATGAAACACTGAAAATGAAACAGGAGTTACAAGAGATGGCTTCCTGGGATATAGGGGCCTTATGTATTAAGTTTGTGCAACATAGAATAGAAAATCAAAAAACAGAACTGACCATAAGGGAAGAAAAAACAGACAGATGAATCAGTTTAAAAATATTTTTTCAAATACATTTTTTGACATGGATCATTAATAATCCATAAGGAATTTACTTTTCTCCCTTGATGCTCATTCTTCCCAGCTTAGGGCCAAATACTCAGACAAAATTACTGGCAAGTCATAGCACGCTGAAACACCTTCCTATATTATACACAGGGTCAATGAATCAAAACAGAACCCGTTCTCTTATACAAAAGTATTAAGTAAGAAGTTCACATAAAAATGCATTCCATGTTAATATAAGAAGCAAGCTATGGATAATAAATACACTTTCTCCCTCAGCAGTACCAAGAGAAGTTAGTGCTGTAATAGCTCTACCATAAGGAAAAAGAGACAGAGTGGGATCAGTTTCCTAGTAGTGAAAATGAAGAAAAATATTCCTACTGCTTTGGGAAGAGGTGGGAACTGTTCTGTGTCCTGCTCAAGTCCTTTTTTAAAAGACAGGATAAATTTTAGCCCCTTGAGATTAAGTCTTTTCTCCTAGCTGATCGCTTCATCTGAGAGATAGATACCAGCTAGCAATAGTGCTGTTAAAAGGATGTATGCAATCCTATTTAAAAAATAAAACAAACAAACAAACCACCATATACATACATACCTATATGTGTGTGTGTGTGTGTGTGTGTGTTTTTCCCTGGTTAATCAGCCTACATTAGGCTTAAACTGCCTTAAACTACTAGACAGTGTCCCTTTAGGGAAGGTGCAATAGAATGAACATACAGTTCAAAAATCTGTAACTTGTTAACTTAAACTACACAATAGTTATGCTACTCAAATCTTACCACCTTAAAAATGCACACAGAACTACTTATCGTACCATACTGTATACTTCAAGACAAAGTACTATTCAAAAAAACATATTCATGGTACAGGGATAAACTTTGTAGTTTATTTATACTGTGAAATGCAACAAAAACTTCTGATCACTCTCCTATGCTGGAAAAAGAAATCCTGTTCGCTAGCATTATTCAGCAGTTTTGGTTGGTAAAACTGTAATGACTTTCACCAAGCAAACACTAAAAAGATAAGGAATTTGAATGCCCACTTCTTCAGCTTTCAGGGATACTTCAACAAATGTAATGATCTGAATTGTCAAAATTCTAGACAGAGAATTAAAACAGTTTTTACATAAGCTAAGAATATCCAATCTCAAGTATATTGAAAAGAATTATTGGAGGTCTATGAGATGAAAATGATGCAACCGTATCAAACCTAAAAATCTAACAATGGTTTTATTTGTTGAGAAATCAAAAACTATCAAGTTGACTAAGTGCTCTATGTTAATCATTATGAGTATGCAGGGTAAGGTACAATTAAGCTTTTAAATCTTGGAATACACAGTTTGTGTAAGCATTATGCAATTGGGAATGTCATCTACAGGGTATTTTAACTAAAACTTCAAAATCTTGATATCTGCATATGAAAAAGTCATTAAAAAGTTACATCTAGATTCAGCTGTACAAAGAAATACACATTACTTCAGGAATGAAGTAAAGGCTTTAGCAGTTAGGCATTTTGCTTAAAAAAGTGTTTAAAGTATTTTAAATTAATTAGACTTTTAAATAGTAGAGTTAGTCTATCAGAATTTATTTTTTCCTCCAAACACAACTCAAGGTAATGCAAAGCAGAAATAAAGGGCCCATGGTCTAAAATTATTTTTGAGAGATGGAAGAAAGATTATTTTTCTAGAAAATGCCATCTTTTAAAGGCATATTTGCTTGACTTTGAAACTTATTGTTTATTCTGTGTGTTTAGTATATGTTGATTCCCTGATGAAGAGCAATGACTATGCTGACAAGCCTAGAAATGACAATACAAATAGTTTCAGACAATAAACTGTCCTCCCAAAGCAAGCATACAAGGAAACCAGTAGGGAAACAATCATTGGGGAAAGTCTTACCTGGGGATTTTGTTAATTTTAAATTTCATAGAAGGTAAAATATTTTCTGGATTCAAACAAGTGAATAATAAACTGGCTTTGATAGGGGCACCAACATCAGCCAGTTCAATGACTGGTGACTAACTGGAAGAAAAAAAAAAAAAAAAAAAAAAAAAAAAAGGAAAAGAAAGCAGTTATTGGTCTTGCTAATGTCAGCTTACTTCTGTTTTAACATAGCGCTCTTAAAAGCTGTACAGAACTCCATCTTACACAGAGCAACCCCCTTTTGACAAATGTGTTCTAAAGTGCCAGTATTATTTACAAATATTTCTTAGCCAAAAGTCTGGCCCGTTGTGGCATCAGGTGAAGAAGTCATCCCAGCTCTGCTATCATTTACATTTACCAAGGGAAATTCTGGGAAATCAGCACTTGTCCCTGGTCCCCGAAGGTTCACCTGTCCATTGGCAGTGCTAAACTGAGATGATATTCCAGCTCTTGCCCCATGGTACTGAGCTCTAAAGGGCTGCTCGAAGGAGCTAATTTGATATGCTTGATGAACAGGCTGTGCCTCTGCTTTCTTCTGAGAAGTTACTTGATCCAAGAAGTCCTGTGTAGAGGAGGAGGAAGAATGATTTGCCTCATCACCTGAAAAGGGGAAAGGGTGCTGAGAATCACCAACCATTAGTCCAAAATGAGACTTGTCTGGAGTTGTTCTTAATGGAGAGTTCATTCCCGATCGAAAGCTATTGACGGGTATGGATGTGTAGACCTTCTCCATGGAAGGAAATGCTGGCTGGGTTGTAAGAGTCTGGTTATCAGTCACAAAATTAAGGCTCGGGTTGTTCAAATAGGCATCATTTTGGCTAGTTCTGTCCAATGCTTGTTGTAAAAACTTTGAATATTCTTGTAACATACTAGCTTTATCTGATGAGGAAGCTTGAGAGCTTGTTCCAACTGTCTCAGATTGGGTGACCTCAGATACTTCAGAAGAATTGATTGATATACTGGAGGTCACCTCACTGTCAGCCACACTGAAAGATATCTCATGTTGTCCATTAGCCTTGTGTGAATAATGATCTAACAGAGTTTGCAGTACCTCATCTGGAATGACATTTTTGTCATGGTTACCTTTAATTTCAACATTCAGTGCCTGTGTATCTAATATTGAGGCTGTAGCAGTTTCATCAATGACACTGGCCACAGCTGCCTGTGTTACCGAAGGTTGAGATGCTATGGTACTTACATTCAAGGCATATTCTCTACTGTTATTACTAGTTGCTTGTAGATACCTCTTTTTCTTTAAAAACTGCATTGCATCATCATAATTAGTGCTGCTGTGTACAGGTTTACTGGGCCCTTCCTGTAATGTGTCAACTTGATCAATGTCAGCATTACCTTCAGAGTCCAGTAAACTTTGCTTATCCACAAGATCAAAGGCATACTTTGAAACCTTGTTGTCTTCATATGTAGATAAAGGTGAAATGGTTTGACTTTGCTCAAGTGGCTGTTTCAGACTCCTCTTGCTGTTAACTTTTTTGAGAACGAGCTTAGGTGGGTGTATTTCTCCAGAATTTGCTTCTTCTAAGTGCGTTCCACTGACTGAAGAATGTGGCATCTCAACAGCATATTCCGCTACCATATACTCATCTTTTACTTTAGTACTAGAAGAGTACAAAGGCAAATAGTCATTTTTGTCCTTCTTCTGTTCTGATTTATCTGTACCTTCCTTATCCCCTGATTTTGTTTTCTCGGTTTTCTGCCTTTTCTTCTTTGGCAAGGAGCTGTCTTTCATAGGCGTAGAGAAACCAGAATCTTCCTCTGATGGCAAAAAGCCAACTTTCGTGGCACTTCTGTTCGGTTTCTTGTCGCGGTTCTCATGGCACATACGTTTATGTTTCAGCACACGATCAGTCCTGGAGAAATACTGCAAAAGATTTATTATTATTATTATTATTATTAGTAGTAGTAGTAGTAGTAGTAGTAGTAGTAGTAGTAGTATTACTCTAGAAATATATTAGCAGAAAGAAAAGAAACTTTTCATTCTAACAAATTTACTTGACAATTCATCCACTTTACTGATTTCTAATCAAGTGTTAAACAGTATATAATCAATAAAATCAAGCACAGACAGTTGTGACTTTGCTCTACCTGTGCACCAAGACCACCCACCTTAACAGAAAAAACATGTTACACATTTATTTGTATCCACATGACTACAATACCTTGAGAAAGTCCTATCTGTACTACTTTGGAATTGACTGGTGTTTTGGTTTTCAGGTGCGAAAGATTTCGCTAAGTCATCTTACCTGCAAACAATATTCACACTGGTAAGGCTTCTCTCCACTGTGAGTTCTTTTGTGCCTTTCCATGTGATATTTCTGAATAAACCTCATACCACATTCATCACAACGAAATGGCTTTTCACCTGGTAAAAAACACATACCAATTTTAATATATATATATAAAAAAAAGAAATCAATGTTCTTCCATTCAATTACCAGGTCAAATACTACATTCTCTATTAGAAGTAATAGAGAAGAGGATTTAGTCTGTTGCTATTGGAAAACAACATAGGGCTTGCTCACATCACTATTTTGCCTAGTACTCAGTAGCTGATCCTCAAAATTATTTTAAGCTTTTACACAAAAAAAAATCCAAACCACCTTTAAAACTAAATTCTTACCCCTCCGTTCTAACGTAGGTACAAATATCTGTATCAAACCTAACAAATGAAGAACTGCAAAGATAGCCTTCCTGAACTGCTGCTACGTTCTTTTTTTAAGGCAGACAATTGTATAAAAATACTTCAGTTCTGTCACCAACTCATTAACTCAAACCCATCCCTTCTAGAAGAGAATTGTGCATTTCCAAGCTTTTATTTTAACCTTTTTGTAGGATGCTCTATATTTTCCATATTTTTTTCCCTTATCTGTATGTAGAAGTGAAATAACTGCTCTGAAAAAAAGCTTACTATTGTGGTTGGAAACTATTTTTTTTTTTTTTTTGTTAAATAATAAATTTTAAAATATTTTATTTTAAAAATTAACCTGAAAACAAGAAACCTCTGTAGTTGAACTGGCATTGCATAGTTACAGGTTTTTCTGCTTGGTTGTTTTTATTTATTTGGTCTGGGTTTTGTTTTTGTTTTTTACATTCATGAAATATTTGTTCAGACAATATTCATTTCCCCGAGTTCATCTTCAGTTCTTTTTTTTTTCCCCACAAAGAAGCCTTGCAATGATCCTTTCAGAACGTGGAGTAACTCTATTTTTATTTCCTTTAACTTTTGCCTTACATCTTCCCTCTGATATTTTTATTTTCTAAGTTTATCTAACAAAACCTAAAAATTCCAAGTGCATGGAAAAGTTACTTTTGCTTTTACAAAAGTTCACTCTTATTTAATAGAGCTCACCCTGAACAACAGTAATCTTTCCTCTTAATATTTACTGTGAAATCTTTTGGACTGACACAGAAATCAGGGATTGTCTTGGAATCATGTGTCATCATCCTCTTTGTTCTGAATACTGTTCTACACTGATTTTTGGAATATAAACCATATATATTTTGCTTCCAGAAATATGCAGACCATTTCTATTTTTTTGCAGTAGTTTAAAAAATTATTTTATGAACTAATTTTATTCAATTACTAGTGAATAATTATTAAAATGTTAACAAATTTTATTATTTTAAATGTTGTTAGAGTGTATATTTTCCATTTAGAATATAGATATTTAGCCACATTCTTCTACAAATGGAAATATGGTACCTTAAAGTAAGATGTTAGTATTTATAGAAACTAGAATGGAAAATACCTGTATCACCCACACATTTGCTCCTAGTCAGATCATTAATGCCCAGAGTTTCAACCTTCTTAATTCCAAGCAATTTCTAAAATTCTCCCTTTGTGAGCCTACGCCCTATTTCAAATTATTTCAAATTATTAATTCTTACCTCTCCACGTGGATTCTCAACCATTCCCTTTCTTGGATGAAATTATTCCAATTTCTTTCCTAAATCAAATTACCTCCTAAGATCTCTCAGCTTCCATTAGTTCTTTTCCTACAGGCTCACAACCTCAGCATCCTAAGTCTTCTTTCACATTTAGTCAGAGACTTTTATCATTTCCTGCTTCGTAATAATCACCATAAAATTTTGCTTTTTTCAGCATCCTTTATAAATTATAACATCGATCATATAATCTTCTCTCATACTGTCCAGAAGCAAATCCTCCTCTCTGATCTATTTCTTAATTTTCAAACTCCAGTTTCATTCTTCATGTTCTCTATATTTGTTAGGCACCCTTACTCCTACAGTGTTTTATTTGCACCATGCCTGTTGAGACTTTCTGAATCAAAGTCCAATCCTTCCCTTGTAAAGAAGAGGCAAGATGTTTAGGTCTCATTGTCCTTGTTTAATACATGGGAACTCTTCCATTCCCAAAGACAGCGACTTAATCCTTGTTACTTACTGTTTTCTTTCCCATTGCTCCACTATTCTACTTTGTGTTTCTTTTAAATCGCCCCTTTAAACAACTCTCCTTACATTGTCTACAAGTATGCTTTCACATTTAGACTTTTTTTTACAGGAAGGAGCAGCTGTTTGGGACGAAAACTATCCTGAGCCTCACAGAAGCCAAACCAAGTCAGAGAAGCAAGACAGCTCAGTCTTTTTCTAGCTGTGAACAGCCCTCTGAGGAGCTATCCTGCTACCCAGGAAATGCAGAACACTTGATTAATACACTTACCTTCAGCTTTACACACGTTTCTGTAAATGGTCAGAGAGTTCCTTAACATTTGTCTACTCCAGCTGGGTATTTGCTGGCAGAAGACTCTCCCAGCTACCTATTCCCATGTCAAGGCTTAAATAGGGCCAAAGAGGGGTTCTGAGGTTTTTCATTGTAGAGTGTTACCACCACCAGCTATTTTGGAGACTTTGAGAGTACGTGAGAAGGCACTGCTGGCCATGCCTCAACAGGAAGAAAAGTTTGGGGACACTGCCCTTGTATTACTCAGCACAACACAGAAAATAATACTTTTCAGTAGAATTCCAGAACACTCTGGAAGTAAGATTAAGAAACACTTTGTGAAACTGATGCCACACTTAATTTTTACTTTAATCTTCATAAGGAAAATAATGTTAGAAAAATATTAAAAATTAATATGAAGATATGCTTCCTGTAATAATTTCTTTCTAGCAGAAGCCTGAAATTTCAGATGCCTTCTGCAATTTTGTTGTACTTTTCAAACAGGATCTATCGCAAATGGAGGAGACCATCAATAACAACCATTTGCTAATGTAGGGAGAATCCAGAACAGATTTTTCCGAAACGTCTGGGTGAGTGGGAAAGAATCAGATGTAGAAAAAAAAGGTCAAAATTTAAAAATACAATACAATAATTATATGCATTATTTATGAAAACAGTCTGTGTTTTGTGTCTACCTTGGAAATCTATTAAAACTGAGCAATAGAACTATTTATAAAGTGTAGTACAAATACTATGTGTATGAAGGCTGTAACAATTATAAACCCCCAGGCATTTTAAAATCTAAACAGACAAAATACAAATTATAAAATACCGAAAAAGGCAATAAAAAAAGCAGCATGACTAAATACTAAGGCACTTGAATGGTTAGCCCCATGTTGCTTTATTTTTTTTTTAAATGTAATCTCATTTTTTGTGTTTAGAATGGAAAGTAGGGTGGGTTACAGAATTAGGACACATGAATGCATGAGTGGATAAGGTGTATAGAAACATCACTAAGCAAAAAGAAAGCAAACGTATTTGGAAAAAAAAAATCAGCATCTTCATGAGCCTAGTAAACTCAAGATATGAAAATATTTGTATACCAATGACTCTTCCCTCTCTTACAACTAAAATAGCAGTTTTCTGTATCATTAGTGACAAGTTTAGCATCAGGGTTCTAGCATTGCTGCTCTCCTCTACATACAAATATTTCTAGTAAGTGAATTTTGTATTAATGCAATGTCTGCTTTTAGATGCAACTGTTTAATTATTTACACAGAATAAGGCTGTTCATTGATTGCTTCCTAACTCCCTCATAACATTTCATTTGAAGGAGTGGTTCAGAGAACCGAATTTAAATCACACTGGAACTAGCTGGAGCACCGGTAAATTCAGGGGTTGTAGCAGGCATAAAATGGGGCTTCTAAGCGTTACCACTGCCTTCAATTGGCTTAAAATAAACTGGAAAATTTGATAAACATCTTTAAAAGTGTAAGAAACGCCCTGTTCTTCATCGGTGTTTTGAACACTGTACAAGATCTGGTGCTAGAAGCGATCATTCTGAGAGATAAAAATGCAAAATAAAAAGAAAAAAAAATACAGTATTGCGTTTATAAGGAATATTTCTTAAAAGAGTATGAATAATAACAAAGAGAATTTTCCTTTACTTCCATCAAAGTGAAACACAGACCCACTGCTCACCTTCTGGTGAGAGAAGAAAGCTGAAAATTCAGCTTTTCTGGATGGGTTCAATTATGCAGTCCTGAACAACAGAGTAACGCTACACAAATAGCTAAGGCCCAGTTGTGAATATTGTCATATAGAAGTGGAAGCACAGGCAGGAATGTAGAATACCAATTAGCTATACTATAACTGGGCCAAGCCAAAAATTAAGCGCTAGTCAAATACTTGCTAACTAAATGGACTTCAAAAAAACTTCTTCCACTCCTGGAAGCTGGGTCTTACATGTTTTCTCCTAACCATCTCCTAGTTGTCACCTAGGAAAACACCCATAATTCAACAATTTGAAACACAAGCACCATCTTCAATTTTCTGAGAAACAACCAAACTATACCTCAGGATGCTGAGGAAAGGAGGAAAACATAGTTATCTAAAGAAGTCAGATAACAATATGGTTAATTTGTTAAATGTCACCCTTTTCTCTGCTAAACAAAGACTAGTGTATGTAAGAGCTGGCAAAAAAACCTGCAAGCCTCCCACCACCACACCCTCCCTCCAAAGCTTACAGTCAACATAGAATTCTCATTAGAGCTAGAAGTTGAATTTAAAAAGATAATTAAATCCATTTATGAAATATTTGCAGTCAAGTGTTAATTAACTATATCGCCCAGACTCTCATTTTCAAAGCCACGTACAGGGAATAATCCTCATTAAAAAATTAAAAAAAAAAAAAAAATCTTTTGGAAAACATGAACACTGCCCTTAAATTTTTGACTCTTTTTTTTGGGGGGGGGGGGAGAGGGGAGCAAATAGATGGAAGACAGTGAATGAGCATTCTTTTCAAGAACAGTATCTACACAACGTGGAGGCAGCATGCTTCACCAATTCAGAGCCAGAGGAAAGACTAGGAACAGAACAAAGACACTGGAGAGAAGAATGGAGGACTCTTCTGTGGCTGACTGGCTGAAGGAAACCTACTTAGCCTGGACTCATGGCAACCTAGGATACAAAAATCCCATAAACAACAGGGCATTTGTGCATGTAACTCCCTGTACACTGCTCTGAAAATTCATTTTGTAGAGTTTTTTCTCCCTCTCAACACATGCTCACACTGCGCTGCATGTTAGTAGCTGTCATATCCATTTAAATGCTACAGCCAAGAAACACTGTGCACATTCACCAGCTCTGCTTTTCTAAAAAAGAGGCTGAGAAATTGGCATCTAGTCCAAAGGGACCATATTACAAAATATTTAAAGAGGGATTGAAAGGCCATGCACCAAAATGCCAAAAACCCAATGAAGCCAAACCTGTTAAAGAATGTGGTTTTGTGTGGTGCAAGAAGATAAAAATATAAACATGTATAAACTTTAACTCTCTTTGGCTTAAAACTTTGGGCCTTATTTGACCTATATTGCATATTTTTAAACTAAGGCTCTTATTTTTAGTATAGTTTTGAATTAAACCTTTCATAAAAAAAGAAAAAAAAAAAAAAGGTGAAAAGTGAAGCTGAAACTAATACTTTGGGGTTAGGCATTTTGGCCATTTTAGTCCTGGCACTTTTTCATCAAATTCCAAAATAAATAAATAAATAAATCGATAAATCCACTGAAATGTAATTTGGAAGTCCCCGTTGTCTGAATTAACTTCGTACAACACAAGATAGAACTGCTTAACAAACCTTAACTTTTGTGAATGCACAAACTTCAGGATTTGCTACTCTGTGGTTATTTATAGAACACTACTTTCAGATCTGCTTCCTAGAGTTTATACTCACTTTACAGCCAAAGGAAAGTGGAACAAGTTGAAAGCACAAAACTAATTTATTTTTAAAAGTTTTATAGCATCTGTTAAGTTAAAACAAACTATAACAGGATTTTAGGCTGCATACTTATTACCAGAAACCTTGCCTGAGTAGGGAAACAGTTTTTAAGCACGCCAGTAAAGATACTCAAGGCACTATACTCACCAGTATGAATCTTCTCATGCCTCTGTAGCAGGTACTTCTGTATGAAACGCATGTCGCACTGACTGCACTGAAATGGTTTTTCACCTTGAACAATATAATTCCACATCCATAAGTTAATAACTACACACTGTTGTTTCTGATAACTACTTTTGAGGAATATTAAAATATCTATTAAAAAAACAGCATCTGAGCGAATTCCAAAAATACTCTAATACCAAAAAACATTAGCCTTACTAAGTATATGAACTGCAGATTTCTTTCCATGATCCTAAGAGTCACATTAAGACTAGCACGGAAGAGTGATCTGAAATGGCTGTAATTTCCTCATGAACAAGATCAATCACGATGCTGGCATAAGACTGCATTCAGGATACTGGCAAGCTATTATAATGGTAAGTACCTTTGTCACTTCTCCGAACCAGAGAGATACCTCATCAGGCAAATAAGCAGCCGGAGCACATTTTACAAAGGGGTCAATTTTGGCACTTAGGCTACAAGTCAACCCATTACTTTCTGATAAAGAAAGAAAAGAAACCTTGTAAACAGTTAGGTCTTCAGTTTACTAAACATATGTTGATTTTTTTTTTTTCTGGTATTCTTTTGACACTTTGGTGCATGGAATCTCTAAGCTTAGATGCCAAGTTAGCTACACTCTTAAAACTGAAATTCGCATAGAGCTGAAAACATTTTTAATATAAGTAAACAACTCTTTATATAGTAGAAAAGACAAATTTGAAGTCAAGCAGTACCTGTATGAATGAAGACATGTCTCTGTAAATGGTAGTTGGTTCTAAAGGCAGCATTGCAATGCTCACAAACATGAGATTTGTGGGTTTTCACACCAAGTGATCCATCCTCATTTATTGTAAGGATCTATTTTAAAAAGAGTAAAATTTGTTCTCACACTACCCTCTAAAGATGTCTTATTAACTACAAAAAAAAAAAAACATTAATTTTTTTGATGCAGAAAATTTAAATATTTCAGGTAAAACAATGCTAATTTCTACAAAGCTATGTGTTAGGCTTTTAGTATACATTTCCAATTGCAGTCCAATCCAGTTTGTGTCTCGCTGTGTATTAAGAGATATTTCAACAGGATGGAGACAAAAGCAGCTCATGGAAAATCAGCTTAGAGCTCCCCTATTCACAGCTGAGTCACTTTATATGCTACTGTTTACTTTGACCGTCTGTTGGAAAGGATGCAAAGTAACCAAACCACCTCTGGGCGCTGAACCATGGATAATCATATTTTAAAGCAAAAGTGAAAACTTATATTCTTTTTTCAAATCACAGCTATAAATGTTTTCTAAAAAGACATTAAAACTTATCCAGGATAGTCATACAAATTATCTACATCTACATAATACCAGAAGCCTCGGAGGCAAAATTGTATTTTAAAAACCAAAACCCCAAAGCCAAACAACCAAGAAAATAGTATTACTCTTCTCGCCTTTCAGGTTTTTCACTCAATATACATATTAGAGCATCTCCTTGACAAATTCAACTTGCCACACTCAATTGCTTTGCTGTCAAACAAAGCCACTACTTTTATATAAAGTTTAAAAAACTTAAATGAAAAAAATTGCACCATATCTACCTTATTCAATAAAGCCCATCACAAGTTTTCTCTAATTTGTTGAAAAGAAAAAAAAAACAAAACCCAAACTCTCTATCATCTCTGGCAAGAGAATAAGAAAACCAATAAACAAATTACATTTCCAAAAGTCTTACTTAACTGGAATCAGAACTATGAGAATAGCTTAAAGTAACCTTAAATAAAACAGTTTAGTCCCTTGATATTGGCAAAAAATAAAAGTCTGCTGGGGAAACACATCTGCAATTTGATTAGCTACAATGTTTTAGGTTTTATGATAATGACAGTGATGAGAAAGAGAGAGTCAATAACTGAAATAATATCTCTGCAATAGTAGCAAATACTGTAGGATCTACTTAAACAATTTTTAATTCTGCATCAAAACTCAGCAAGAGTGAAAGTCTTGAGCTAACAAATTCTTGTGCATTCACTCTGAAGGACAAGCACATTCATACGTTTGTAAAACTGGTATGTTACAGCTCCAGTAAGTCACAGATAGAGACAACTATAAAAACTCTGTTCTGTAACAACATACAGCTAGTGAAACACTGACTGATTATTTAAAGTAAATTTAAATACGTGTTATGAAATGCTTTTCATATATTATATTGAAATTTTAAAATAATTGCGTAGAAAATACACTTAATCACAGTTATCCTAAACCTGGGCTCTTCTACTGCATACACTCATTGTACCACCTCTTAAATGAAGAAAGTTAACTTGGTCAGTGCAGTTTTCCTAATAAAAGCAACAAAAAGTGTGTGTGTGTGTGTGTGTGTTCATGCGCGTGTGTACACGTGTTTGTGTGCATGGAAGAGGGAAAAGTAGACAGGATTCATAAAAACTAATGACTTTTTATTTATATGATGACTACATTATTGTAAAATAAAATGTAACATGTTTCAGTATGTTAATTGACTTCCATTTGTAAAAGTCCCAGCTGCTGTCTGGACAGAAAATCAACCCCATTACTCTGGGAATACTAACTTAAACTGCAGTAGCCTCTCACCTATGTCAGTCCTTCAGCTTCTTTCTGCCCTTCTACTCTGACAAGTTTGAAAAAAGGGAGAGACTGAAAAAGAACCTGTTTAATAGTTCTCCTGATCATTTTTCAATCTTTTGTCATCTCAAAAGACTAACACTGACAGATTGGGAGATACAAAGGAAGCATGCAAGTACCTGTCTGTAGAAAGAGGGACACATGCCTCTCCTACCTTGCCATGTTTCCATGGAAGTGATCTGTGAACGTACTCAACCTGGATCTCCTTTTTCTATCAAAGGGAGAAGTGTCTTGATGCACAGGATTTGGAACCTGCTTCCACACCCAATCCGAAACAAATTTCTCAACCTTCCAAGAACACTACAAGTGCAACCTAATTTGACACTGCTTTGAGGAGGACTGAGGAGTCCCACTCCCAGGCCAACAAAAAGGTTTTGAAGTTTTTCTTGGTGTTAGGGTGAGTTTTCCTTCAATGGATACACGGTCTGGGTTGATTTCAGAGGAGGCTTATTTTAATGCTGCTGTGTGATAATATGTAACTGATTTTTGCCTATCAGAGCAGCCTGTGTATGTTCTATTTTAAGTCTGAAGATTCAAAATGATTTGGGGAATTACTAAAAGATATAACACTGCTACCTCATGAGGTGAAATGATTCTGGTTTTATCTGAAGTGCGCCTCAATAGAAGAAAATTGGTTTCAGACATACAGGGATACATACTCTTCATGAATGGATCTACAAAACAAATTTTGAAGGAACAAACCAGCAGCTATGGTAAGAGTCTTTTGATATAAATAAATACATATATGAAGATGATTATGACCACAGGAATATTCCCTACTGGTAAATTATTTTATATATATTAGTAAACTTTTTAGAATTTCCAAAACTACCATTTTAGATCTATTTTTAAAAACTTCTCACTACTATGCATGAAGCATATAAAATTATCAGGCTCACAGAAAAGCATGACTATTATTAGATAGATACAGAGTAATGATTTATAAATTGTCTACAAAGCTACTGACTCATAATTTAAAAAAAATATTTGGAGAGAGACCTGCCTGGAGAGACAGATGTTAAAATATGTCAAGGGTTCATGTTGCTAAAAAGAGTTCAAAGAAAAACACTGTTATATCAGGTTTTGTTTTGGGTCTCTGGTGAACTTCAGAACTGCATCTTTACTGAGCAAACAAACAATTTCCAGCCTAACTACTTCAAATGCTAATGAAATTAGTCATAGTCAACCAAATCTTCAGGTTCTTTTAATCTTGGTTTTGCCAAATCAATGTCTTACTTTTGCTGGTGAACGCTGTTTTCTTTTCTTCTTTTTCTGCAAATCTACTGGCTCTCGTATTTGTTTTTTGTCTCGTTTCTGTTGTTCAGATGCATCAGTAAAGGTAATTTCTTGCTTTACACTGATCTGTTAAGATACCAAGTGCCAGTTTCAGGTAAGGTTCTCACTACAGAAAAGCAATTTTTCAATTTTAGAAGATGACAAACTGCTGAAACAGAAAACCTTTTTCTAAGGGAATTATCTTGTGGCTTCATTCTTTCAGAAATTTAAGTGAAAGGAATAATAAGTATCTTAAATGAAAAGGGCATGGTTAATTTCTACAGTGACATTTTGATGTATCCTTTCATTCATCTCCCAAGGTCTTTTTTCCTTCTGACCTGTGGTGATTTTGAGATCAGTTCTTGTATTAAAATCACTTCCATCTGTAAAACCATTCAGTTCTTCATACCTATTTTACTTTAGTCCGTGTTGTTGTCAATGCAAGATTTAACGGAATAGTTTATTATATATTTAAGACAGAAGTATTTTTTAAGAAAAAAAGAACAGTGCTAATGAAGTTTGTTTCCAAAAAATATTTCTTGATCTAATGTAAACTTTAATAAAGAGCATGTTACTCTTACATTTCTTCTAACACCTGAACCACCTGGTCTACAGCTAACAGAGTAGTGTTTTAACAATGCTACCTTTCTGAAGATTATTCTTCGTGTATAAGGCTATCTACTTTTAAAGTCCTGGTAATTTATGTTTGAAGGGTAACAGTGATGATGTGCTGCATTACAGAAAGACACTCTGTTTTCAAAAGGAAGTCATCTATATTCTCTCTGGGAAAGCTGAGGTACACCTTCTGTTAGGTATCAAGGAGGGGCATATTTATGGTCATGTATGAAGTGTCACAGTCCAACCTGCAGTGTGAATGCAATTGCTAAGCGCCCACATAATCTGAAAACATACAAGATGCTTCCTACAGCAAAAGAAACTAAATAGTACTATGAAGAGCATAAACAGTGTGCACCTTTTAATAACGCTATTTATTCTGGTTTGTAGTTACCCTTGAACATTAAATATATTTAAAAGAGCACAATTTAACGTATTAATTATATGGTAACAGCCTGCTTCTAAAATATTTATAAAACAGATACTTAAAGATTATACTTAATTGGCAAAATTTATCCAGAGCCAGAGGCAAATGACATTTTCATAAATAGCATCCATTCATAAATATTTTGATAATCAAAATCCAAATAAGTAATTAATAGATTCTTGCCAGAGTAGGATTAGACTACCAGATCAAGCTTCCTAGTAATTCCTTCAATATTTCACAAAGAAATTGCTTACAGGGACATTAACAGCATACTGCAGCCCTTGAGGAAGTCTATCTTGTGTATCCATGTCATCATCATTTTTTACCGTCTCCTCATGGACCATGAGTTCATCATGTGAAATCATCTCTTGCTGTCGAAGTTCACTTTCTTGTAACACTTCATCTGTTGCAAGAATTTCTTGGTGCGCCATAGTCCGATCTTGAAGCACTGCCTCTTGCCGTTCTCCCGATACTCCAGACTGGTCAGATACTGCACCCATCCCTACCATAGCCCTGGATGACTGCATTTGGTCTATGCCACCACATTTAAGAAATAATCCTCCCAGCTTGTCTTCAATGTTCATTCTTAAGTGCAATAACCTACAAAGAAAGTTTTGATAGTAAACATCTACAATTGGTGCTCTTGCTTAAAATTTTTTACTTAAAAACATTTCATAAGAACTCAGTTAGTAGTCAACATACACACATGCACTCCTAAAACTGATATCCGAATAAAAGCGAAAAGTTGGATATCTCGGTTCAACATGAAAAGATTCTCCTTTCACACACATGCATGTGTGCACAACTGAACACTTTCAAATAAAAAGTTTCAAATCAAAGTGCGTTCTGATACCTGGCAAAATCCTGGTAATTAAATGATAGCTTAATTCCTCCTTCTCCTTCCTTAGAAAACTTGGGTTTTTTTCTGTGTGCCCTTTTTAAACTGTTCCCTTTTTCTGTTTTGACTGCCTTTTATAAATGCCCCTTTCATATTGGTCCTGTTCTCCTTACTTCCTTGTCCTTTAAGTGCCCTTTCACTGCTGCTACCCCAGGGCATACTGTAGCTGCTGAAACATCTTAATATCCACAAGTGAGAGAAAACTGGGCTGCATCAAGAGCAGTGTGGCCAGCAGGTCAAGGGAGGGGATTCTCCCGCTCTGCTCCACTTTCATGAGACCCCACCTGCAGTGCTGTGTCCAGCTCTGGGGCAACCAATATAAGGGCATGGACCTGCTTGAGCGGGTCCAGAGGAGGCCACAAAAATGATCAGAACGATGGAGTCTCCTATGAAGACAAGCTCAGAGAGTTGGGGTTGTTCAGCCTGAAGAAGAGAAGACTCCAGGGAGACCTTAGAGTGGCCTTCCAGTACTTAAAGGGGACCTACAGGAAAGATAGGGATAAACTTTTTAGTAGGGCCTGTTGCAATAAGACAAAGGGTAATGGTTTTAAACTAAAAAATGTAGATTTAGAGTAGATATAAGGAAGAAATTTGTTATAATGAGGGTGGTGAAACACTGGAACAGGTTGCCCAGAGAGATGGTAGATGCCCCATCCCTGGAAACACTCAAGGTCAGGCTGAATGGGGCACTGAGGAACCTAATGCAGTTGAAGATGTCCCTGCTCATTGCAGGGGGGTTGGACTGGATGACGTTTAAAGGTCTCTTCCAACCCAAACTGTTCTATGAAAAAACAACTTTCTGGCTAAAGGTGTATGTCAAATAAAGACTACAGAGAGGTCAAATCTGTTTATAAAAAAGGCATTCATTTTCACACCTATTGAGCAGGAGCATTAGTCGGGAAATATGAGTTCCAGTCATGAATAGCATTACCATAATATTGACTTATGGTACACAGATAGATATAAAATCGTAGTATTTCAACAAGTATCATGATATCATTAAATGTTTTTTAAGATAGGGCGGTAGGCTTTTGTAAAGCTGGAACTGGCAGCTTCTTCTTATTCCATTTATTATTATATATGCAAGACAGCGCTAAGACTCTTCTTCTCCTTGGCATACTGGATGTCCAGTCACAGCAGTCAGCCTCCTTCACCTTATTCCCCAGGCCCATAACTTCTACCCATTCCACAGTGCCTTGCACTACTCCTTCAGACAGACAGACAAGACATCCTTCCTCCATCCCTCTATCTTCCCACAGCTGGAGGCAAAGGCTGGAGGAGACAGAGCGGTGGGAGCAGAGGCACAATGGACTTGGACAACACACAGCAGGCCCAGCCAAAGCACAAAATGGGTATCTTGAGGAGTATTACAATAGCATCAGCACCTTCGATTTTGATGCATTCAGAATTACAAGATAGATGTGATGTTGGTATATTGCTAGTGATCAGCTTTAAATTCTGTCCCCCTAAGGGTGCAGCATGGTGAAAGGCTCCATCTCCATTCAAGTTTTAAGTCAGCAGCAACGCTTCTTTCCCTGCAGCTCTCAACAACTCATAACCAAAGAAATCAAGTCTCCCTGCCTAGAATTGGCAGGGCCAGCACCCTGCAGAACTGCACCACTACAACCTCCTGCCAGTTTAACAGCCTGCCAACATGCAAAAAGACTGGATCAAATAAATGTACACAAAATGTTAAATTTCAATTTTTCAGTTTGAGCCATTTGATCATTCTCCAAATCATTTTTCTCACCAGAAAAATCTTTTGAAAATTCTTGATTTATCTTAAACATTTGGGAAGATCTGTTTATACCAAACTATACTGAGTTTACAAAATAAATAGTGGTCTTTCTTCAGGTAAGATCCTAGAGTACTTAGTAGGAATGCAAGCCACTAGCAGAAACAGCTGAAAAAGATCTCCAAGTTCTCCTACATTATACTTTGTTTCAAATACTACTATTAGTTCTTAAACTTCTGAAAGTAAAATTCACTCAGTTTTGTAAAAAACCATCAAAGAAACAAAACAATCTGCCACACACCCCAACAAATGGAAAAAAAAAAAAAAAAAAAACAAAAAACAAAAAACACACACCACCTTCTGGTAGCAACTCATGTTGTATAACTTGAAAGTGAAAGAACCTTTGTCCCTAATCTCTATCGTGAGAGGTTCTAAATTTCTGAATGTATCATAGAAAGGCTAACAGGATGGTCTGACTTCTGAGTTTCAAATATTTAAGACACATGTCAAAGAAAGAAGCTTTTCAGTCAGATTTTTTTTTTTTTCAGTAAACCTTCCTCTGCTGGAAGTCAGGAGGACAGAGTCACCAAGCTAAATCTGTTTATATATGACAATGTCATTAAAATTTTTAATATTCTTCCTTCCTACATAAAAAGCACATTCTAGGGACCAAAAAAGCCTGTGATAGGAGAAGAACGTGGGGAAAACTTCTGTTCAGAACATTTATGTTTGCAATTTTTCCTTTTTTGTTCTTCTGCAATTCTAACGTAAAGAAGTTTGAAATCTTACTCTTGATTTTCACAGCATCTGTCTTCAGATACAGACAACAATTCTTTAATGCCTTGAGACAGTTCAGGTAGTGCTACGTGACAAATTTACTCCCGAGTTAATCCACTTTATAGTCAGAGAATAAGATTTCACATGTCTTCAAGGAAAATGCACATCCAGTACGCCACACAGCAACCTGCAGACATTATATAATCCATGAAGTATTTTTTGGAGGTAACTGGGAAACCATACTGATAGTTTCTCAGCAATAACACAAACAAAACAAAACAAAAACCTGGCACAGCACGAAGGCAGTATTTTTTTTCCACCAATGCAGATCTCCCAGAGACATCTTGCAACAACACCCTAAAAGGGGAAAATGAGGATGAATTTATCATCTTATCGGTGTGGAACATCCCGTGCCAAGTAAGAAATGTGAGAAGGAATTGAAGTTCTTAAGAACCTGTCTCCCATGAAGTCATTATTTGATAAGAGACGGTGCAAAAGATCTAAGGTTGAAATTGGTTTCTAAGGTAGAGCATTTTAAACATGTAGCTTGAAAGATAGACTCCAAGGAAAACAAGCAGATATATTTATTCATCTTAGCCTTTATCCCAAGTTAATCCATACTCAGGGTACATCACAGATAGATTGGCATTCACTATGCTTTTGTTCCATACTACAGAAACACGACAGCATAAGCTCGCTGCAGATTCTTTAGAGGAATGACATGGACAGGTACTAGAATACAAGAACTCAAGATGCTGAAACGCATTCAAGGTAGAACAAACAGTATTGAGTGTGAGAACACAGTGGCCCTAATCTGTCTGCTCTAGCCACTGACAGAAACAGCACAGAAGGTTTTTCCACATGGAGGATACTGCCATATCACTCTGAAATTAGGTATGAATTGCAGAAATCTTGGATTTAAAGCTATTTCCTGGCAGGAGGGTAGGCAAGCAAATGCAAGACTGAAAGACTGAGTGTTTAACAGTGCAGAAGAGCCTGCTACTCTCACCAACAGAGGGGGGAAGACTTGTGACATGCAGGATCTTAGGACAGCTGGCCAGATACAGCAGCTGCCCAGAAAACAGGCTAGCAGTCTACTGGTATTTATTGGTCTTGTTAGTTCTCTCAATTGCAAAGGATATGGAAACTTTTTCTTTCTCACCCTGACTAGTAGGCTTAGCAGAGTCATGCAACCGAAAGCACTCAAGTTGTTTTCCAGTCATGATTTTGAGTCATATCAGAAGCTGGTGCAGTGAATGTACTGCTTATTAAATCTGGCTTTCGAACATCTGGCTTTTCATAGAAAAATAATGAGAACTTATAGTATTAGGCTGCATATTCTACAGTGATGAAATGCAAAGTAAGTTATATGACATGCAGGTACTGTTTTAAAATGAAGAACCACAAACAAAAACAAGCTATTAATCCAAACAAGAAGTATCCCAACTGCAATCAATTCAGTAAAACACATGTAATTTGTCAACTGACACCTTTTGGCTCACATAAAAGGAATCCTATCATTTAAATTGAAGATGAGAGGTGTTCTTGGAAGAATGACAGTGTGATAAAGAAAATGTAAGTTAAAAGCATTCAGACAAGCTCACTTTACCAAACCTGCAAAGACTAAATAAATATTTTATGTGAATGATACACCTGTGAAATAAAAATCAACTTATTTTGAGATTATCTTGAGGGAAGCTACAATAATACAAACCACATACTAACACACACAAGCACATTTCTTGGCATAAGACATTGTTTTCCTTATTGCAGAAATGTTTTCCATGGAATTTCAGAACTTCTATTAAGCTTCAGCAAAATAAACATATGATTTTTCTTTAAATATATAGTTTCTCTATACACTGACAGGAAAAGGTGTCAACAAAACCCTTAAAGTACCATTTTGCTTGGTAGAGGCTCTCCAAGCCTTTAGCGTAGGCAACACATTCCACAAGAGACCTCTAAAGGCAGAGCTTCCGGGGTACGCACACATTTTGAGGGAGGAGGGAGGGGAAGGGGAGGGACTGCACAGAAAAGGTCCTGTGGGATCATCCCAGCACCTTCTCTTTTCACACAGTGCTCCACAGCTGCTCACAGAACATCCACAGCCAGTGAACCATGTTGCTTCATTTCAAAAACTGCTGCTACGCCAAACCCTACGGCAGTACTTCAGAACTATTCATTGCAGTA